GATGGGACCAGTGGCCATTATCTTGGGGTTTTTTATGTTAAGCTTCAGACCATTTTTGCACTCTCCTCTTTCACCCTCATTAAGAGATTCTTTAATTCCTCCTCACTTTCTGCCATCAGAGTGGTATCATCTGCATATCTGAGGTTACTGATGTTTCTTAATTCTGGCTTGGGATTCATCCAGTCCAGCCTTTACATGATGTATTCTGCATATAAGTTAAATAAGCATTATTTATTATTGTATTATTTAGTCTTTCACAAATACTTAATAGTTAGAAAAAAGTAATCTGAGTTAATTTTTATTAAAAAAATGTTTACAAATATATATTACATATAATGGAGAGTATGAAAAATGGGTTACAATGGAGTGAATGCCTTCTTTAGGATTTTACTGAAAAAATACAGTATTACCTTTGAATGTTATCCATACTGTGCTGTGGAAAGGCTCACAATACAAATAACCTTTATAAAATAAACAAGCTTGCTTTTATTTGCCTATTCCAATTATAATGAGGACATGCTTGTTTGGGGTTTTCAGGACCTTTGGAAGAATATTCCCAGCATTTGGGAAACTGTTTTGAAGAACTGCAGGCAGTTCAACAATTCATTTTCTCTCCAGCCCTATCCCTCTCAGTGAATTCCAGGGCCTTTAAAAAAAAACACACACACAGTTTTTTGCAATGATATACATGGTTACCACTGGTCAGCACTGTAGATTCAAATGATTACGCCTGCTCCAAATAAAAATCCATTGAGTAAATCTTTCTTTCTTTCTTTCTTTCTTTCTTTCTTTCTTTCTTTCTTAACTACAGTACTTCATATGCTTTAGTTAAACTGATGTCTAATACAGTGAACCGATATAAGGCTTTCTTCCAACCTTCACCAAAAGAAAAATTGTCTGCAACTCTGCTTTAACTTAAAGAGAACAAACATAAACTACATTTTTGTTGTTTACATAGTTCAATGTGCACATATAAACTACTGTAAAGTGCTTTTCCTATTATTAATAACCTATAAATGCACACACAAACACAAACACATTCAGGTTTAATTTACTCACAATTCTCTTTTTTCTTATAGGTTTGGCGCTCCTGCTGAATGCCCAGATAGGTATGAAGTTCACTTCGAAAAATGTTTATGTGATGGGGTAAAGGGGAAAGAGACTAATAGAACAGCATTGGTATTAACTTATTCCCTTAGTGATAGCAGTATTTCGGTGGTAGAATCACAGCTCAATTGTAAAGCAAACACTTTGTAGAACTGATCCCTGGTATTGCCATTAAAAAGAACCAGGTGGAAGGTGACAGGAATGAGTTGTTAGTGAGCTCTCTGAGTCCCTGACCATGTTTCTAGAGATCTACTGGCAATAAGAATAAGCAAAAGTATGCTAGATGAACAAATCATTTGAGGCTGTACAAAGTACCTTCCTGATTACCAAAATATTGTGCTCTTAAAATAGTGATAATGGTCATAGTTGTGACTGTTATCGCTCTTTTTGTTACTCAGTACAGTATACTTAAATATCCTTGATAAAGCACAAAACCATTAAATAATTTTTGCATCACTCTATCCTCTAAACCAGTGTAGTGTAGGGGATGTTTTGAACTGCAACTCCCAGAAACCCCAGTCAGGACAGCTGGTGGCGAAGGCTTCTGGGAGTTGCAGTCCAAAACTCCTGAGTAACCCAAGGTTAAAAACCAGTGCCCTAAACCAGTGTAGTGTAGGAGATGGAGTTGTGGGCTAGGTTTCAGAAGACATGGATTTGAATCCCCACTCAGTCATGAAAACTCACAATGGGGAGGTGGAATGGGCAAACTCCTCCTTAATTTTTTCACATACTTTGAAAAACCTTATTAGGGTCACTATAATCCACATGCACCTTCATGGCACATAACATAATGAACAGCCAGAAAGTGACAAGATACTGTAATATATTATGAATATTTATTCATATTTATAAAGTAACATGTGGCAATTTTAGTGTTGTGGCATAGTTGGGGGACGGGAAAAGGCCTTCCTCAAAACATAAAGGATATCAAAACAGCAATCACAGTCCATAACTACCACTTCCCTTAGCTCAAAAAGCAGAGCTAGCACAAGGTATACGGCTGCTCTGGGCAGAGCAAGAAATGGCAGATCCCACCAAATTCTTTAAGGAACAGAAGCAGAGACCCCCCAAAAACTGTATTCTCCTCTCTGGCAGTAAAAATATAGGAATAAACGAATTACAATTTGCTGCCCTTGATAATACTGTACTCAAATCAGCTGCTTGAGGCAGCTCCCATTCCTGGCTTAGAATAGGGCCTGTTAGGAAGTATCTCTAAAGGGCCTTGGCAGCTATAGGCAACAATATCTTCAGGGGGTTCTCTATTCTGCTTCTTTTCTTTGTGATCACCTGTTTTAGGCAACTTCTTTCTGGTGAGCTCCAACGCACATTACACTGGTGCAGCTCAAACTGTTTTATCCCTAAATAAATTGTTCTTCTTCCTTCCAAACACCACAGAGAATATTACCCTTTCTCCCATCATAAGGACTTATAGTCTGCAGTATTTACTAAGACTACTCACAACCACTTCTTCTCCTCATCCTGCACCCTAGTTTAGTTCTACTTCAAGATTCATTATATAACTTCTTTCATTTTCCTTGGTAGGCTCTGCCTATGTACTATCATGCTACTTCACCAACTGGGGCCAATACAGACCAGGCCTTGGGCGCTACAAGCCAGACAACATTGACCCTTGCCTGTGTACTCACCTGATCTATGCCTTTGCTGGGATGAGAAACAATGAGATTGCAACCATAGAATGGAACGATGTCACCCTTTATAAATCTTTCAACGGCTTGAAAAACCAGTAAGTATCTATAAATGTCACCTTTTTCATCAATCTGTTTCTTCCAATATGCTAGTAAGCCACACAAGCTTACCATATACTGTAATTATCTGTCTGTTTGGTCACTGAAGAAAAAGAAGACAAGGCTCTCTGGCATATGGGGCATAATATTATATATGATCATTGCTGCAGTAGCTCCTACTGCCTAACCTAGGCAAATCTATGCTCATCAAAGTTCCAGAACAGTCTTGTTTCTTTGATAGAATTTCAAGAGCAGTTCGAACTATTATGTCAAGTGCTTTATAGTGTGAGCTGAGTCCACAGTTAATAGCTCAATTATTTCTCTCTCCATCCATCGCCACAAAACATCCAAAGTGGCTTATAAAAATCACAGGCATAAGATTGTTGCTCTGTGAGAACAGATTTCTGGCAAGTCTGTGATGAATTATGCCCTAAAATCATCATAATCACTTAGCACTTTCTTGATTACTATTTTGGGTGAGGCATAAGCATTTCATCATGTGATTCAACTACATGGTAAAATCAGATTGTAAATCCAGATTGTTAAATACCTGCATGACTATACAAATTGGGTATCTTTACTCTATGCACCATTAGTTGTACCTTTTCTTGCACTTTCATAGTAATCAGAGCCTGAATATTTGGAAATGATGACAAATTAAATTAATTTGTTGCAACCTAACTGAATCGGGTACTTTTTAGAACAAAAGAGTAAAGAAGTTTTAGAACTTTGTGCCTGAGGAACCAAGTTTCTTAACATGGCTTGTCCACTGCCTCTGAAAGCCAAGAGCAATGTAATTTATTATACAGTACTCAGTAAGAGCTCATGTAGCGTAGTGGATAGAATATCAAATTTGGAGTCAGGACACCTGAGTTCAAACCCTCAGTTGACCATGGAAACCCAGTGAAGAATGGCAGTGGCAAAATCACTCCTTAAATATCTTTCATACCTTGGAAACTCTGCTAGGGTCACTGTAAGTTAGAACTGACTTGATGGCACATAACAACAGCACTGTATTTAATTATTTGTCATACGAATATGGTTCAGGATGAAAGGGGGGAGTGATCCATAGATAATGAGACGATGCTGATTTGTGATTCCTTTTTCCAAAGTGTCTAGAGTTCATCTTTTTAATCTCTTCCATCATAGGAATGGGGAACTGAAGACTCTCTTGTCAATTGGAGGCTGGAACTTTGGAACTGGACCGTAAGTTCTTTAGTCCCCCATCTGATTATGGCAGGTGAGAATGCTTGCAAGAAGTGCATCATTTTCTGAAGTCTCCCCTCTGTTAACACATTGCAGATTCAATGCAATGGTTGCCACTGCTCAGAACCGCCAGACCTTCATCAACTCTGTCATCACGTTCTTGCGCCAGTATGACTTTGATGGGCTGGACATAGACTGGGAGTACCCTGGTGCTAGAGGCAGCACTGCTGTGGATAAGGTCCTCTTTACCACTCTGGTTAAGGTAAAGCCACCACCTTTTTTATTATTCCCCATGCTCCCTGCCCAGCATACAGAGATGGTCTGTGCAGGCTGGACAGATCTTCACCGATTTCCCAGTTTCTATGTTCTTGTACAAAAACTGGTAACAACAGCACTTACATGATAATGTTGTGTATAATCATTGGGCATAATGAATGCAGATCTAACTCAAGCAGAAGTAATAAAAACCCTGACATACATTTCATTTTACTATGCAGTTGTTCTTCCAGAGAAAACCTGCAAATTTCCCAATGGAGCAGGGTTGTCCTCAGCATGATGATACCTCCCTTTTCATTGCAGCTAACTAGGAAATCATCTGTAAAAGATGCTGGGCCCATTGAGCTAGATTACTCAGAGCAGAGATAGTAACCCGATGTGTGGCTGTGAGAAAATTAATATCTGCCTTACCATGTTACAGGAAATGTTGGAAGCTTTTGAGCAGGAGGCCAAACAAGTGAACAAACCTAGGCTGCTGGTCACTGCTGCTGTTGCTGGTGGCCTTTCCAATATAGAGGCAAGCTACCAGATTCCTGAGCTTGGCCAGTAAGTACTTTTATTTCAGAGATGTAGATTCTCTCTTTTAAATTTAGAACATGTCCTTTGTTAAGTATATGAGTAAAGATCCCATTAGATTGGGAATTAATGTGCTATCCCACCACATGACATATATGTAGATGTTAGCCACAATGTAAAACCAAGCCAGTGGATCTGTTCAATTTCTTCTTCAATGAAATTGCTAAGTCAGCATTTACATTGAACCAGCATGATGCCGGGCTTTTCTGAATACTGTAGTATAGTTGCTGGATTTAGGGGTATAGACTGTTTTGCAACCCATCCTAATACCCAGGAGTGCTAAAGGAAAGCATGCAGGCACATATACATTTTCTCCTGTTCAGCGGCTTAAATGTACTGTACACAGAAACATTAGTGAAGAATAAATCTGGACTAAACATTCCAGTGATCTAGTATTTGTTACATAACCAAGCAAACTCAGAATAGATTTTGATGAGCAATCTGAGCCTGAGAACAATTTTCAGGTAGCATGAACTTTGCACTTTGAAGACCTTTTATATATCGTGTATCATATATGGTCTGCAAAGAAACAAGTGATCATGGAAATGCTGCACAAGAGCTAAGCTCTAAACAGATTGTACTGTAATGGAAGCACAAAAACCTTAAGAGTGTTTCCAGAAGGAACTTCTAGGCAAAAGGTATGGCATTTTCAGTCCCCTTAGTGGGAGACAGACAGCATATAAATAAAACAAATAAATAAAATGAATACATTTTGCTTTCACCATCTTTTTTAAGTGGGAAAATATGGAATAGATAGAGCAAATGCACAATTTTTCCAGGAAAAAAACCACGCTTCATCAGTCTTAGTCATGTAGCATCTTGTAGCACATATACAGATTTTTGGAGCATATATATATATATATAACTACTTCACAGGTATCTGGACTATTTCCATGTGATGACCTATGACTTCCATGGCTCCTGGGAAGGTTTCACTGGAGAGAACAGCCCTCTCTATAAAGGTCCTGCTGACACTGGTAGCTACGTCTACTTCAACGTTGTAAGTACTGTATAAGGATGAATGCATATAACAACATGCTGCAAAACTTGGAACAGTCCTCCTTCCCCCCCCCATTAAAAAAAACAATCTGTAGTCATGGAGGAAACCGACACCTCATTTTGGGAGCAGTAGTTAATATATCTAATCTCTTTCTAGGACTATGCTATGAATTATTGGAAAAGTAATGGTGCCCCGGCTGAGAAACTCATTGTTGGATTCCCAACTTATGGACACACCTTCATCCTCAGTGACCCATCCAACACTGCTATTGGTGCCCCCACATCTGGATCTGGACCTGCTGGACCTTATACAAGACAGGCTGGCTTCTTGGCTTACTATGAGGTCTGTATATTTTTTTTTTAATAGCACAGAACTAAATTTAACATAATCAGGCAGCTAGCACTCAATTCTTTTATCACAGTTCTTTCAGAAATAAAGTATTGTATTTATTCACTTGTTATTACCTCTGCACTGCCAGGAAGACAAACAAGGGAGCTCTAGATCAAATCAAGCCTGATCTATCTCTGGAAGCAAAAATGATCCTATTTTGGGTGCCTCGTGAGAAGGCAAGATTCTCTGAAAAAGATAATAATGCTAGGAAAGGTTGAAGGCAGTAGGAAAAAAGACCAAATATGAGGTGGATTGGCTCCCTAAAGGAACCACAGCCTTGATTTTCCAATGCTAAGCATGGCTGTAGAAGACAGGATGTTTTGGAGATCACTTGTTCATAAAGTTGCCATAAGTTGGAGGCGACCTGATAGTATGTGACAATTAATTCCTCAGCATTGCCATTCCGTCATGAGACAGACTGAATATATTTCCTTTGCCATAACAAATACTGACCAGTATCCAGCAGCATACTTCCACTGGGTCATGTTGCTTCCTTCAGAACCAGATTCTGCAGCTTCTTCTGAAACCTCCTGCAGCCCCTTCCTTTCTGCTGGATAATCTAAAATTCTGCTGTGTAAGGTTCAGAAACCAGCAGGGTCTTTAAGAGTTACTGAGGACATCAACAGGAGTGGGAGGGGAAGGCATTCCCAATGATGCCAGTATTGGATACCCAAGGAGATGTACGGTGTTGCCCATCGGCCAGTACTTTTGATGGCATAGACACCTCTGATAAAAGCAGACCATATGTGTCATCTAGGCATCCATGAAAGTAAACAGAAGCAACACACATCAGTTTCTTCTATGCATGACAACACATAGCCAATGCTTTGTTAGAAGATGCTGTTCAGGTAAACACATTCCTATTATGTTGTTTCTTATTTAAGAAAATGACAGATCTGGAATTATATTCCGGATCTGTTTATTTAACCTGAAATAAACAGATCAGCAATATAATTCCGGACATTGCTGAATAAAATAAGAAAGCATGCAGAGAGAAAATGAACACTGCCAAAGTGAAGACGGCTTGGACAATCAGCATTTACACATGTAAGAATGCTGTTGACTCAAGACCAATGGTGCTAAAATGTCAAACTTAGTAGCCAGTGAGATTTGTGTCAGAGCCTGGCAAAATGTAGAAAAATCTGCTTCCTATCCTCTTTAAACACATAGGCACTGCTTGAAATCCTTGCTCAAAGTTATGTTGACATGGAGTGATATGGCTAACCCATGTGGTTTGGGGTAACTGGGAGTTTTAGGGAATCAAAGTCTAGGTAATGACTCCCTGATACAAAAAGTAAATACTTGTTTAAGTATAGAGCATAGTAATTTAGCAAAAATCCCACACATACATTTGCATGGATATTTCCTGTTCACTTCCTTTTTTCATTCCCATTGTAACGCAGTTATGAAATATTAACTAACACAGATTTCAGAGACCAAAGCACTTACTGATTGCCTTTTTTTGCTCTCAGATCTGCACTTTCTTGAATGGAGCTACAGAAGTATGGGATACTCCTCAAGATGTGCCCTATGCCTACAAGGGGAATGAGTGGCTTGGGTATGACAACCTCAAGAGTTTCAACATCAAGGTATGAGAGAAAGGGTTAATGCAACAGTGTCCTTTCCCATTCCTCAGGGCAATGCAGACTAATTTTGACCTTTTTGTCTGCATCTTATAGGCTGAGTGGCTGAAGAAGAACAACTTTGGAGGTGCCATGGTTTGGTCCCTTGACTTGGATGACTTCACTGGCACTTTCTGCAACCAGGGCAAATACCCCTTGATCACCACCTTGAAGAACGCTCTTGGACTACAAAGTGCAAGTATGTAATTGCAGCAGGAACATCACACAGAATGAGCCAAACTCATGTTTCTGCAAAAATTATACAAGGGATAAAGAATACAGTATCTTCATTTTTCCCCTGAGTCACTGTTGTTGCATATTGTAGAATACATATTGTACATTGCAGAATGCATCTTTCTAGCTGGGGTACCAAGGTCAGGTAGATAATTTTGCCTGTTTAGAATATGTTTATAGTATTGTGAGATTTCAGAATAGTAGTAGCACAAAGTTGACACGTTTGAATATATTAATAGTAGTATTATGGAAGAAAAATTAGGAAATGAGAACAGCTGGATCTGGACAAAGTAGTTTTGAGAAACTTTGCTTCCATTACAAGCTTAGAAAGACAAAATTGAATTGTGTGTGTTATGAAGTTGAGTGGAGGAATAAGAAGCCAACCAGGATTCACAATAGCTATAGACAGTAATCTAGAAGCTGGAAATTAAAAGAAAGTTAATAAATGGCTATAAATTAGGAAAAATGGGGAAAGGACAATCAGGATAGTAAAGCTTCTATATAGTGTAGACCACCAAAAAGCATGCAGAATTCCTTATATCAAGGCAAGGGGGGTCTAAAATCCATGCTGCAAAAGTGAAGCACAGAAATAGTTATCGGAGAGAGAAATCATGGTTCATTTTTTTCCTTCTTCTTTTCCAGGCTGCACAGCCTCTTCTTCTAGTAGTGGCAGCTCCCCCAGCAGTGGCTCTGGAGGCAGCCCGAGCAGCTCTGGAGGCAGCCCAAGCAGCTCTGGAGGCAGCCCGAGTAGCTCTGGAGGCAGCCCAAGCAGCTCCGGAGGCAGCCCAAGCAGTTCCGGAGGCACTGGGTTCTGTGCTGGAAGAGCCGCAGGCTTATATCCGGACCCAACCAACAAGAACAGCTTCTATCACTGTGAGAACGGGAGGACCTTCCTGCAACATTGCCAGGCCGGTCTTGTCTTTGACGCCAGCTGCTCCTGCTGTAACTGGGCATGAAGAGATCAGGGTTAAATTCACACTCCCCTTACCTTCTAATCTGATGCAAGATTCTACACTGCTACAATAATAAAATAAAATTCAGCCAAAAGACACATGTTTCTTTTTTGTTTGTTTACTAGCAGAGTGTATAGGCTTTCCCTTTCTCTTCACCTGTTTCTTTCTGTGGTGTTTTATGACATGGCAGAAATTACGGTACATCTCACATGTAGCTCACAATCATAATTGTGCTTTCTTGCAGTACTACCATGGTAGTTTGTTGTTGCTCAAAGGCAGTTGATCCTGCACGGCAGCTGCTTCAGAGAGAACCAGTTCATCAAATGCATTAAATTATTCCTCCAGAAATTTCCATAGGTAATTTGGGACCTCAGCATAGAGATATTATACTTAAACCTTACAGGTCTTTCAATCTTGTCTCCAGTGTTACTTCACATCTTCATTCACAAATGTAGCCACACAACTTGAGCTCACATGTAAGTAGGCATGTTGTGTGAAGGTATGACATGAAGGTATGCATCCAAGAAGGATTATTTTACTTTTACAGAGATTCTACCTCTACCTTGATCATGGAAGCCAACCAGGCTGGTCAACAGAAAAACACTGCTGATGATTACTAGCCAAAAGTGAAAGAGTTTCCCCCTTTCAGATAAATAGAGTTCGTTTGATTCAATTACTTCTTAAATCTATTTTTTGAGATACAGCTACTCTCCCAAAGGGGAGATGGACCATTCTTGAAAGCATTGCTATACCAGGCTGATGCTTGGAGAGGAGCGGGCAAGCTCTTTTTATTTTCTTATCTTCAAAATTTATTTAAGACTCGGTTCTCAAAAAAGAACAAATCAGATTAACTTTTATTAGAGAATAGTTGAACATACAGTAAGGTAGGCAAAGGTAATATATAAAATAGGTTCCAAAATTATGGTTGTATACAAAAAATAATGTTGATTTCAGACATATAGAGTGCATATACAAATATGTATCAGGGCTTCAGCAATGAAACAGTTAATGATTGGATGTCATTTGACCCAACTCCGGGAGGCAGTGGAAGATAGGAGGGCCTGGCGTGCTCTGGTCCATGGGGCCACGAATAGTCTGACACGACTAAACGACTAGACGACAAAGATGTCCAAAGTCTAGAAACAGGACAAGACCTGGTATCATCTTGTGCCTGGCCAGCTACATCATTTTCCGCTAATAGCATCCTTCAGGCATGGATTCACAGCATATGTGGGTGTCTTATTTGGATCCAGTGGTCTTCCGTGAGCATTCTCTGCAGGATATACAGGCATGGCTGGCCTGAGAAGTGTGGTGGTATTTTAAAACATGATTAAGAGGGGAAGATTCCAGAGCACAAGGTTGCATACATACAAAATAAAGGCAATCACTGTCTAATATAGTAGTACAACAGCCTATATAAGCTGTTTTCTCGTTTGCATGGAGAAACTTCTATGGCACATAGTCCATGACAGGAGGAGAGGAAAGCAGTGTCTAGTACCATTTTTTTGATTTGGTGTGCCTCCTCAGGTTCCCCAATGCCTTGTAGTCTCAATTGGCTCTGGGGCTTCCAGAAGAGACCACCTGCCAAGAAGTCTCATTGTGCTTGTCTTATAGGGATGCCCTGGCATACCCACTAAACTCACCAGGTGTGTTCTGCGCCAAAAGCAGGTTACTGAAAAGTCTGGTCCAAGGCCAATCTTACCATGAGGCACAGTGAGACAGCTGCCATACCAAGCTAAGTCTGAGATTCATTGAAGGCAGTGTACCCCCGAAGAGACCACCTGCCAAGAAGTCTCATTGTGCTTGTCTTATAGGGATGCCCTGGCATACCCACTAAACTCACCAGGTGTGTTCTGCGCCAAAAGCAGGTTACTGAAAAGTCTGGTCCAAGGCCAATCTTACCATGAGGCACAGTGAGACAGCTGCCATACCAAGCTAAGTCTGAGATTCATTGAAGGCAGTGTACCCCCTATAAATATCATACCAAGCTAAGTCTGAGATTCATTGAAAGGCAATATAAATATTAGTTAAGCCCAAAGGAGTGGGGCTAAGTATGAGTGGAGCTGTGAGTAAGTGATTTGAATCAGAAAGATCCCGAGAACTGAAGAGGCTGCAGGTGCTGTTGCCACTTGAACTACAAAGGCCCTTGTCAACTTGGTCTAAGTTCGATTCCTGTGTTTGTGTTGGAGTGATGAATCCACATAGTGAATTCATATATATCCAACTGAATTGATATTTTATTTTAGGATTTTGAAGATTCCACATGTGGAGCAGATTCCTTTATGTATTGGACACCCAACCCAGTTGAGGAAGATGTTTTGAATATTTTTCTGAATTTGAATTCAAAAGGACCCTTTCCACAAGCAACGCCTATGCTATTGCTAGAACCCGAGTACACAAATTGTAGCATTTTGTTATTGTTATAATTGTTTGTTTTGTCTGTTAGTTAACTATGAATAAGCAAAAACCCATTTTGTGAAATTGCATTTCCAAGGTTCATCAACAGATAGCTAAGTAAGCAAATATCCACATAAAACTTAAAAGTGTTACAGCAGCAAATTGTTTGTCGCGTAATTTCTTCTATTAGATTACTGTATTTGTGGGATTTCCATACCTTAGATGCTATAAAATGACTTTAGGTGTGCACATCTTAACATATGTGAGGGGAGGTATTTTCTGCTCTACCTCAGATAACAAAGTTTTGGATCAAGTCTCCTCAGATATGATTAAAATTAAATAAGACTGAGGTTTAAAAATAGATAGAATTAAACACTTGCCTGCACTGTTTTATATATATATGATGTAGATCATGTGTCATAATCAGACCAAGGTGACCCCTGGGTTGCAAGGTCTACAACATGCATGATATCAGGACTGAAGCTCATAATGTCCTTGAAAACAACTTTTTGAGCGGCAGAAGTTAACAGCGTGTTGCTATTCTGATCTGTTCTTATTAATTTTACGACATTCAAACCCAGATAATCTAATCTAAAACATAAATTGTACCATGTCAAAACAACATCACTCAGGTAAGCATGTGAGTAGTGTAAAGCTGCTATTAAGTCAGGTTATCCTATCATTTTCAACAGATTGGAACAAGTTCAGAGGAGAGCAACAAGGATGATTGGGGGCTGGAAACCAAGCCTTATGAGGAAAGACTGAAAGACCTGGACATGTTTAGCCTTGAGAAACAAAGACGGAGGCAAGAGATGATAGTATTTTTCCAATACTTGAAAGGCTGTCAGATAGAGGGAGGGCAGGATCGGTTCTTGATCATCCCAGAGTGCAGGACACGCAACAATAGGCTCAAGTTAAAAGAATCCAGATCTTGGTTGAGCATCAGAAAAAACTTTCTAAATGTTAGAGCAGGACAGCAATGGAACCAGTAACCTCAAGAGGTGACAAGTGCTCCAACACTGGAGGCATTCAAGAGAAATTTATAGACAACCACCTGGCAGATATCCTTTGATTTGTATTCCTGCACTGAGCAGGGAGTGGGACACAGCAGAGTTATGTACAGTAGACTAAACAATACACTTATCTGTAAACAGACAACACTTCGTGCAGCAACTCTCCACACAAAGCTTCATATTCGCCCCTTCCAACTTCATGATTTTATGATTCCATGATTTTCTTACACCATGCCTTTAAAGGTGGATAGTAGCAGAAACAGTCAGTTTAGCTTTCCTCCATGATTGCTGTATATAATTGACAATTGCACACTGTTGATTCTAATTTGCAACCCTTTTCAGGGTTACAATTTACTTTATCTTTAATATCAGCCCATTGTACCAAAAAGAGGTGCCAAACCTAGGAGTGAAGAGTATTAGGATTCCTACTTTAAAAGGGCTCACACAGAGCATAGAAAATTGCTTTTCTGTGTTCATGTACAAAGAGTAAATTCTTCTTTAAGGACCACAGTATCCTGACTCAATCCTGTGTCAACTTGAAATCCTGTGGTACTTTAAACATATACATTTATCAGTAAGTAAGGACTACAGAAGTATGGAATATAGGCCTTGAGCTTTTTTTTTCTTACAGCAGCAGCTGTAAGCAGCTCGTTTAAACTTCAATATTACGATTTTCAAAAATAAAAGTAAGGGGATGCAGCCTTTGCAAGAGAAGTATAACGTTGCTGGAAGCCTATAATTTCAAACCAGGATCATAGGTGCAGGATTTAGGGATGCATTCTCCGCCGGGGTTTAGAAAAGCACTCTTAACATGTTTTTTTTTTCTTACAGCAGCAGCTGTAAGCAGCTCGTTTAAACTTCAATATTACGATTTTCAAAAATAAAAGTAAGGGGATGCAGCCTTTGCAAGAGAAGTATAACGTTGCTGGAAGCCTATAATTTCAAACCAGGATCATAGGTGCAGGATTTAGGGATGCATTCTCCGCCGGGGTTTAGAAAAGCACTCTTAACATGTTCCCAGCCTGTCTTCTTTGGGGCATTAAGTCCCCCCCCCCGCAGAGGCCTGAGCCAATGGGCTAACCACGGAAAACAGCATTCCGATCTGAGCTACCCCTAAATCCGGGGAGATTGAGGGGGTAGGAACACGGTGCCTGTACACGCGTGCACAACTCGCTATCTGCTTGCTTGCTGCCATTCGGAATAGGTCGTCTGAATAGTACCCCTATGTGCTGACAGGGGAGATGCATTAGGAAGACCTACACTCTGTGCACGTTTTCTTAAGCTCTGCTTATAAACAGTCTCCCGCCTAACCAGTGCGAGACCACCACCCCCATTGAGTGCACTGAACACAGCTAGCGGCGCTTCGAGGCTCCTGACGTCATTACTACCGCCTGCCAGTTGCCCACACTTCTCTCTTCCTCTCTTCCAGCCGCGGTTCCGGCGCGCCCCTCCCGTCTTTTGCGCAAGCCGACCCAGGGAGCCCTCGGTCCGTATCCATGGCAACTGCAGGGCGCCGCTCACATGAAGAGCGTCCTCGGCATGCTTTCTCAACAACGGCAGTTAGCGTGGGAGCTCACAGGTGAGCAGGCGGGTGGGGAGGCGGGAGACCTGGCCCAAATAAGGGAGCGGGAAAGTCCTGGGGGTTTTAAATAAGACTGAGGTTTAAAAATAGATAGAATTAAACACTTGCCTGCACTGTTTTATATATATATGATGTAGATCATGTGTCATAATCAGACCAAGGTGACCCCTGGGTTGCAAGGTCTACAACATGCATGATATCAGGACTGAAGCTCATAATGTCCTTGAAAACAACTTTTTGAGCGGCAGAAGTTAACAGCGTGTTGCTATTCTGATCTGTTCTTATTAATTTTACGACATTCAAACCCAGATAATCTAATCTAAAACATAAATTGTACCATGTCAAAACAACATCACTCAGGTAAGCATGTGAGTAGTGTAAAGCTGCTATTAAGTCAGGTTATCCTATCATTTTCAATAGACTGGAACAAGTTCAGAGGAGAGCAACAAGGATGATTGGGGGCTGGAAACCAAGCCTTATGAGGAAAGACTGAAAGAACTGGACATGTTTAGCCTTGAGAAACAAAGATGGAGGCAAGATATGATAGTATTTTTCCAATACTTGAAAGGCTGTCAGATAGAGGGAGGGCAGGATCGGTTCTTGATCATCCCAGAGTGCAGGACACGCAACAATAGGCTCAAGTTAAAAGAATCCAGATCTTGGTTGAGCATCAGAAAAAACTTTCTAAATGTTAGAGCAGGACAGCAATGGAACCAGTAACCTCAAGAGGTGACAAGTGCTCCAACACTGGAGGCATTCAAGAGAAATTTATAGACAACCACCTGGCAGATATCCTTTGATTTGTATTCCTGCACTGAGCAGGGAGTGGGACTCATTAGTCTTATAGGCCCCTTCCAACTTCATGATTTTATGATTCCATGATTTTCTTACACCATGCCTTTAAAGGTGGATAGTAGCAGAAACAGTCAGTTTAGCTTTCCTCCATGATTGCTGTATATAATTGACAATTGCACACTGTTGATTCTAATTTGCAACCCTTTTCAGGGTTACAATTTACTTTATCTTTAATATCAGCCCATTGTACCAAAAAGAGGTGCCAAACCTAGGAGTGAAGAGTATTAGGATTCCTACTTTAAAAGGGCTCACACAGAGCATAGAAAATTGCTTTTCTGTGATATACCTTGGCCTTGAGCTTTTTTTTTTTCTTACAGCAGCAGCTGTAAGCAGCTCATTTAAACTTCAATATTACGATTTTCAAAAATAAAAGTAAGGGGATGCAGCCTTTGCAAGAGAAGTATAACGTTGCTGGAAGCCTATAATTTCAAACCAGGATCATAGGTGCAGGATTTAGGGATGCATTCTCCGCCGGGGTTTAGAAAAGCACTCTTAACATGTTCCCAGCCTGTCTTCTTTGGGGCATTAAGTCCCCCACCCCGCAGAGGCCTGAGCCAATGGGCTAACCACGGAAAACAGCATTCCGATCTGAACTACCCCTAAATCCGGGGAGATTGAGGGGGTAGGAACACGGTGCCTGTACACGCGTGCACAACTCGCTATCTGCTTGCTTGCTGCCATTCGGAATAGGTCGTCTGAATAGTACCCCTATGTGCTGACAGGGGAGATGCATTAGGAAGACCTACACTCTGTGCACGTTTTCTTAAGCTCTGCTTATAAACAGTCTCCCGCCTAACCAGTGCGAGACCACCACCCCCATTGAGCGCACTGAACACAGCTAGCGGCGCTTCGAGGCTCCTGACGTCATTACTACCGCCTGCCAGTTGCCCACACTTCTCTCTTCCTCTCTTCCAGCCGCGGTTCCGGCGCGCCCCTCCCGTCTTTTGCGCAAGCCGACCCAGGGAGGCCTCGGTCCGTATCCATGGCAACTGCAGGGCGCCGCTCACATGAAGAGCGTCCTCGGCATGCTTTCTCAACAACGGCAGTTAGCGTGGGAGCTCACAGGTGAGCAGGCGGGTGGGGAGGCGGGAGACCTGGCCCAAATAAGGGAGAGGGAAAGTCCTGGGGGGTTTCCGAGCTGCAGGTACTGCCCCGCACAACCAAGGCTCCTTGTTTTTTCTGTGCTTGACTGGAAACCTCAGGGTAACTGGAACAAAAAGCCAATTTTCCCAGAAACGGGATATTTTTGCAAGCTTTTCCTGTTGCCATTGCCAATTGTAACCCCTCCATAGTCTGATTTTTGTGCAATTCAATAAAAAATTTAAAGTATGCTTTTAACAGCTCAGTTTTTCGTCTGTACTCACCACAAAACCAATGTAATTATTTCCACTTTTTTGCATTGTAAATGTAGCTTTCTTACAGATTTTATTATATTGAGGTATAGCAAGTATTTTAAATAAAGAAAAAACACCTGAAGACTACAATTGTTCATACATTTATCTCAAAGTAAGCGGTGAATGGACAGAGTGATGTCACAATGGTTCTCATACTGAGGTCTGCAGATGTTCTTGGACTACAGTTCCCAGAAGCCTTCACCACTTGCTGTGCTGGCTAGGATTTCTGGGATTTACAGTCCAAGAACATCTAGGGACCCAAGTTTGAGAATCACTGGGAGAGTGGAACAAGTCAAACGACTCCTTGAAAGCTCTGTTAGAGTCGCTGTAGGTCATTTCCGACTTGACAGTACAGAACACACACACAAGTACAATTGAACTCAGCTGATTTTATTTCTGATTAGGTATTAGCTTAAATTGCATTGTAAGGTGGCAGTCTGTCAGGAATTTGGGGTGCGGAGATGGGTCCGAGACAAGGCAGTCTTCCAGGTCAACAGTAAAAAGACTCACAGATATGGCAGATACTTTCATTGGATATTAGTATGCTATGATTTCCCCTCCGGGCCAACAGGAAAGAGACTCACAGAGATGGTAGATACCTTCACCAGTCATGTATTTACAAAAATATGTACAGCAGAGTTATGTACAGCAGACTAAACAATACCCTTATCTGTAAAATAAGTGGAAAGCACTTCATGCAGCAACTCTCCAAACAAAGCTCCATATTCCACTATCGTGTGCAGCTCTTATATAGTGTAAAATAACCAATCACTGGCACATCACATGTTGTTCTCTCCTAGACACTACATCATACCTAATATACATTTCAAGGATTGCATCATCTACATGTGCTAACCTTGTGGCTGCACACCTGTTATAAAAATGGATGTCTAATAGAACAGTCTGGTTCATGTACAAAGAGTAAATTCTTCTTTAAGGACCACAGTATCCTGACTCAATCCTGTGTCAACTTGAAATCCTGTGGTACTTTAAACATATACATTTATCAGTAAGTAAGGACTACAGAAGTATGGAATATATGTTGGGATGTGGTGGCGCTGTGGGTTAAACTGCAGAAGCCTCTGTGCTGCAAGGTCAGAAGACCAGCAGTCGCAAGATCGAATCCACGCAACGGACTGAGGTCCTGTCATTTGTCCCAGCTCCTGCCAACCCAGCACTTTGAAAGCATGTAAAAATGCAAGTCTATAAATAGGTACCACTACGGTGGGAAGGTAACAGTGTTCTGTATCTAGTTGTGCTGGCCACGTGACCACGGAAACTGTCCATAGATAAATGCTGGCTCTATGGCTTGGAAACGGAGATGAGCACTGCCCCCCTAGAGTCGGACACGACTGGACTAAATGTCAAGGGAACCTTTACCTTTACCTAAGGACTACAAAACACAATGGAATATGCATTTGAACAAACTGTGCATTCTGCAGGGGTTATTTCTGTGTAAGATCCAGGACAGATTTAAAAAATCTCAAAACTAAATGTAGTGAGGAGGTCCCAAAGTGAGTCACACTTCTTATCTACCTTTAAAACTAAATCCTCTTTAGGACTTCAGATATTCTTCTTTTCTGTCCACTTTAACAGACTTGAAGGGAGATGAGTTGTGGATTTCCACAGTCTTAGAGGGCTGATCACAAACAGTTAAAGGACTTTCTCAGTACATACATTCTCGGTGTATGCACTCATGCTTGAGACTTCTGTTCATTCTATTTGTTTATACTACCTGTAAAATCTCTCTTTTGAGCCACCTAGAGATCTACTCAAGGATGAATCCTAGTGAAATTTCTTCTGGCAGAAAAAATACAGCCTGGCACCTTTCCATGTTGCACAAAAGACCAACAGGCTATGGCAATAGACAGATTTTGCCATATCTGTTTTTAAAAACCCGTAACTGAGCAGCACACAATATGAAATAGATAGTATTTTGATTCATATATATTACTGCTCTGGGTTTTGCAGCTGCACAGAAACGGAACTCATTTGGATCATGTCAGGAGAGGAGAATTTTCCCCTTTTTTCATGCTCCAGACCGGTTAGGTAATGAACATGTACCAATTAAAGGCAATCCCAACCGTGGACCTGGAATGTATAACCATGCAGAGGTAAGCTATACTTTTCTTAACACAGTTGTATTTTCTCTCTGTCAATTTTTACTTGAAGTAAAGGAAGAGAAATCCATATTTATACCAATGATTGCTTCCCAAAATAAGCTCACTCATCCCCTGCTGTATCACTAGCACTGTAAACAATGGTACAATCTCTGCCTCAGCTGATAGTACATAGTATCTTGAGAGGTGGGAACCGTATATATTGTTCTGAGCTTGTAGGAGGAAGAATGACATATAAATGTAATAAATAAATAGTCTGTATTTTTTGTATCTAGGGCTATCCATAACTGAATTTAGGATAAATGGCAGGCAAATATTTGATATCTCCTTCCCTCTGCTCAGTTGAAACCACCTGATTTGTAGTATAAAAAGAGATACCTTTGGAAAAGCACTACACATGCACTATATTTTTTGTGCATGTGCAGAGTGTCTTTTCTTTTAAATAGCTTTTTAATAACTGCTGTTAGAGCACACATCTCTTAGTTTAGGAATAGGACAGACATGCTAGAAGGTACACCAGCTAGGTTGATGTGAGCCCAGACACTTCTAGAAATACTTTTGTGTATATTACTATTGATTGGAATAACCTTAGTTGTTTGCTTTGTTTCTATATGTAGAAGAACACTATCCTATATCATCTTTCTCACAGACCAGAGAGCACTAAAGGTTATTCCTTAGGAGCAAGAACATCCCCACGTTTTGGACTGAGCACTAAGGTAAAGACAGTTTAGCTCTGTTCCATGCATCCTTATCTTAAAGAGTGTAAAAATTTGCAAAGGAAACTATGATATAAAGAATGAATCTTTACTATTTTGGTTCATACACACACACCAAAGCTAGAACTTTGGTACTGTAAAAGTATATTGCTGTCTAATAATATTTGTGTGTCATCAAGTAAATTCTGACCTATGGCAACTTTTCAGGGTTTTCTAAGTAGAGTACTCAGAAATGGTTTACCAGTATCAGAAGGGGTCACAACTCAGTGATAGAATGCTTGCTCTACACACAGAAAGAAGAGTGGAAATAAAATACTTTCCAGCTCAGGTCCTGGAGAATTATTGCCACTTGAGTAGACAGTACCCTGGAGCAGTAGCCTGCCTCAAGATAAGGCAATATTTGCTCATCATAAAACTTTGCTTTAGATTCTAACATTATCATTTATTCTTAATATGCTTCCTCAGCTCCTTGCCCAGTAAAGAATCTTATGGCTAATCTATTCATTAGGGGGCAGGGATGGGGATGCTATGGTTATATCCTTGTACTACAGCTCTGGTCATTTCTGACCACTGACCATGCTGGATTGGGGTGGTAGGATTTGGTGGAGAGTCTTGTGCTAGGAAGCAAACATTTTTTAAAAACTGATGGGATATAGAAAGGATTAGGCACATCCTCATTTTAGAATTAGAGGCTGGTAGGGGAAATTGTAGCTCTCAGTAGACAATTTGTCTCACAACTTCATTTTATATGTTCAATCTATAGCAGGTGGCTCCTGATCCTACAGTGTACCAAGCACTGTGGGTCAAAGATCACAAGCACAAGCCTGCATATGCTCCATTTCAAAGCTACACACCACGATTTTCAGAGCAACATCTGGACAAAGAGTTTTTCCCAGGGTACTATTTTTCTTTTCTTGAGTTATAAAGCTGTCCACTAGGATAGAAAGCCTGAAAATAAATGATCATATGTATGTTCCACTATTACAAGCAATTAGGGGCACAGGGGAGGGATAGCAGGTGAGAATGGCTATCCCAGACACTTTTTTTGGAAGGGGAGCTAACTGATTTCCTATTTCCCTTGTGGTTTATTGGAGGGTGTAAATTACACCAGCATGCCCTCTATCAAATACTGTATTCTGTTTTTGAGAACAATGCCAGTTGGCAGAATAATGCCAGTGAGATATACGCATCCATAGAGCTTTCTAGGGGTGCACTGAAGGCACTATGAACAGATTAACGGCTATTCTGCATACAGGCTTCCCCTTCCATTGACAGATGAATTCTTACAACAGTTACAATCCACTCCACCCATGCCTCACACAGCTAGCACGTTCTACAGTTGATCCCACAGTCGCCACTGAAATGCAGATGCCTCTATGAAAGCACTGGTGTTGATTGTTTTCTAAGGGGATTTTCATTATAGAGGCTTGACCTGCCCCAGTACTGGGTGGTCAGTAGCATCCAAAATCGCTACATCACAATTTAGGAATAGTTTTTCTTTTAACTACTTCATAAGTTGGCTAATGAATTAACACAGCCACATGTAGAAGTCAATTTTGCTATCTTTTTGTAACAAGACATGGTTTTTAACATGACTAGGATGGGCACTGACAGCGAAAGGTCATCACCTTTTGTCACAAAATTAGAAGGACTCTTCCTCCCATCACCTCCTTCTCATGTCTGTTCTTTGTGCTTTAAGCAAATTTATATCATGTTAATGAGGAGAAAGCTTTAAGAATTAATCTTAACTGTGGGAGCCACTGTATATCCATGGAGGGATAAAAGGCAGCAGGCAGTGAAATGCTCCTTCTGTTGGAACTGCTTCTGTCAAAGGGATTAGGAGGAAAAGAGTCAATAGTTGATAGCTGCAGAGGAGTAGAAGAGGGAAAGACATCATGCGAATTAGCATAGAATCAATTTCATATTTATATTTGTACATATTTGGACACACGCTGTCTTGGATTAATGTGGCACATGCAAACTGTGTTGTATAAGGCCATATTTCTACATTGCAGGCATGATATACATTTTTAAGTATTTGTTTTCTCCTCCCACCTCACCCTGTTTAGACCAGGAACATATGACCCAGAGAAAATGCCACACAGACATGTTACTTGGCCGGGAATGTTTGGGTCTCCAGACTGGTCTCTAGTTCCAAAGCCAGTAAAACGAACTTTCAAAACTGAGGTATGAAATTCTGATAGCTGTGTCATTGTGACGATACTTGGCTTTTAAATGTTGTTTTGAATTTTTGCGGTTTTGTAACAACAATATGTATTTTAATATATTTACAGCATATTTGTATTTTCTTTCCTAGTTGCTTTCAGACAAAGAATTCAGGAAGAATCGGAACTTAATGGCCTACCTGAGCATATACTACAATGATTAATTCTGGTTGGAGGCTTTCATCTCCTGTATACTTAAATGCTTTTGTTGTTGTTAGAGAGTATTGAGACATTTCTTACTTCTTTTCTTAGACCAGTTCAGTAACTAGGCTGCTTCATAAACAGCTGTTATGCTATCCTTTTAAATGCCTCTTACCTTCCCAGTTTTATTGTTTGGTTCAATCTTCCTGACTGTTTTTATACAATACACTTAAAATTGTGAAACAGGAAAGATGGATACAAAATTACAGGTCTTGTCTAGTGTACTGTCATTCCAGCCATTCCATCTTACTGTGTGAACCAGTCCTCCAATTTATAATCAGTTGTCTAAGGAAACACTTAAAAGAAGTTCAGATCCACATTAATTCATTTTCAACTGTGTGCTGGTCTTGAAATACCTTGCAAGCATTTTTTGGTTTGGCTGAGGTAATTATGCCCATAAAAGCTGTGCCAGAATTTTTACTGGAACAGCACAGCCTAGTGAAACAGCAGGACCTAGACTCTTACATTACTGATTTGCAACATAGAGAAGCACCCTGCATTTTCTATCTTTGGATGAAGCTGGGGGCAGAACTACATTGCATATGTGCTTCCATCATGTTCAGATGTTGCAATTGTCTTTTCTTTTATCTGGCCCAACAGCTGTGGCACTAACTTGTAGTAGAACAACTGAAAGGAGACCTAATTAATTATGTCTCTTCATACTGAAAACAACTCCTCTCTCCCTCTCACGCATGAATACACAATCCATTTTTACATCCTCTGGAGAAAATATATGGGCTTGTTTCAGACCTAACAAGATACCATCGGCTGAAGTCCTGCTGAACAGTTAGACAAACAGCTTAACTTTTGGAAGCAAATTGATGTAAGTTAAGAAGTCTCCATAGACATTATCTTTTGCATGCTAAGTCACACAACTCATTGTGCCACAGATAACATCTACAGACATTTCTTAACTTACAGCAACTTGTCTCTAAAAGTTATGCTATTTGCATAACTGTGCAACAGGATATCAGTCACAGTTTTCTTTTATACACCATAGATTCCCAATATGAGAACCAGTTTCCTCATTTTCCTTATGTACCTGTAAAAATGATTTTCTGTTATGTCTGAGCTCAATCACAGATACTGTTTTTGGGATCCAGATTTGCCTTTTTTCAGATATATGATGACCAATTGCAGATCATCCGTACAATCTAGTCTTTGTATTGTCATGCAACCTGGGATGAAATATACAGAGTATAGAAAACATTTTGATAGACTGATTGTTTGCACTGGTACATAGCCTAGAACTAAATGACTCTAATCTGCCATCCATCTACTGCAGTTTTTACATTCTCTGTGGGACTGAAATATTTCTGTGCACTCTGCCATATACTGTAGAAGGCTGTTACCATTTCTTTTAAGTACTCTTCTTGATCTCTCCAGTTAATTTTCATCTGGTTATTTAGAAGTATTTGTAACTCTAGTGCCGATAAATGACAGGAGATAATCCTCTATATTTCCTACCTTGAACAATCTAGTGAATTTGAACTTGATTGGTTTTAGAACCACTTGCAAAATATGTTTTATCAGTTAACAAAGAAAACCCTAAAAACCCAAATACATCCAAGATGTATGTGTGAGGCCTATGTCACTCTATAATTCCACCAACTTCCTCATGCATGCTATGGTTGGAAATTTACCAGATAGCCAAATACCTTTGTGTTATTGCATTGAAATAATAAAGTATTGATATTAATTCTGTTGCCAGCATGCCTGTGTTTTTATTTTTAGGGGATAATACATAGTGCACAAATAGCAGGAGTTTCATAAACAATTCATATGATGCTACATGTTTGATGTTGTTGCACCTGTACTCAGATTAGCCTCATATGAGAAGAGAACAGCTACAAACAAACATTTTCATTGCAGGAATAATGTGTGTTTTGTATATATATGTAAAATCCAGTTGTTATGTGTAAGCTAGGTTTTATATCTGTGCAAATGAGAGACAACCATGGGTTCCAGCACTACTGTAGTGAGCCCCAAATGCATACCGAAACAATGACAACATGTTATAGAGTCTAAAAGAAATGTCTAACTCACTTTTTCTGTTAGATCTTTGGAGTCTGCAAACAGAGATATTATCAAAGTAGTTCTCCCACTTCCCCAAACACCTGTTTTTGGTAACATCTTACAGATTTGTAGAGTTGGATGGGGCTGGAAGAGTCATCTTGCCTAACCCACTGACTAAGCAGGAAATTCACAGCTAAAGGACCTTTAACATGTGGGCATCCAGTCTTTGTTTAAAACATTTTTGTGTTCTTTTGTTTTGTTTATATATTTACATTTTTACACACACGCACACATACACACACACACCTAGTAGCAAAGCTACTATATGTTTAACTGTTTTAATGTTGTTACTTACAGTGTTTTTAATTGTGATTATAGCATAGCATTGTTTAGTTGTGAGCTGCCTTGAGTCCCCTGTGGGGAAAACAGCAGCATAGTAAATAAATAAAAAGTCTAATGAAGGAGAGTCTTCTACCTTCTGAGAGACAGTCCATTTCACTGCTGAACAGATCCTACCATCAAGAATTTCTTTCTAAAGTTTAGTTATCTCTTTTCTTGTCATTGTAATCCTTTAGAAGTGGTTCATCAGGTCCCAGAGAACTGAATTTGTTTAAAGTAGCTATGTATTCCTATATAACCTCTTTACCTAACTTGAGTGGCAGCCCCCTCACTGCCTCCTTTATTATTTCATCATTTGGTAGAACACTGTTTTTCTTTTTTTCTTCTTCTTCTTTTTTGGTATCTTCCATTTTTAATGTAGAAGGAAAGCTGGCCAAAATAACTAGCAACAGTAGACTTGGCTGGGAAAACATCTCCAAAATCCATATTAGGTAGTAGAACAAATCAGCTTTTCATTCCACCTGCTTACCTTTTAGCATTTATCCCTTTACCAATATTGACTTCTGATTTATATTGTTCCTTGGTAGTTTATCCTGCTTCCATTTCGTATTGATTAGTCTTTTAAATCTCAGCTCCTATGAAAGCTCCTTCTGCAGCCACCTAGATTTCTTTAGATGCCCCCCACTTTTCTTTCTGGTTGGATTTGTTCATGTTTGTGTCTTTTTGTGCTCCAGTGCTGGAGGCAATCAAGAGAAAAATGGAAAACCATCTGTCAAATTTATTTTGACTTGGATTCCTGCACTGAGCAAGGGATTGGATTTGATGGCCTCATAGGTCCCTTCCAGTACTATTATTCTAAGTCCAGAGCGCACATCCTTCTCCCTCACCAAATTTCTTGCCTGTTGACATCAACTCCGGTGAGCCTGAAAGCTTGCATATTTCTGTGACCTTTTAATTGGACTAAATATGGATTTTGGAATTTTTTCAGGACCAATGCAGGCTTCTATTGCTAGTTACTTTGGGTAGCTTTCCTTCTACATCTTTAGTTGCCACAAGATGAGTTTTTTGCTGCAACACCTTGACATGGCTACTTTGTTGAGAATTCATTTTATTCAGTATATTCATTTAACACTTAAGTAGCAATGTCCTTGACATTGTTTATAAATATAAAAACAAACAAATCAGACTTCAAAAATAAAAGCAAATCAACAAAATCCATAATAGCCAGCAATAAAATGCAATGTTTTGTTTTGTTTTAATATGAAATACCAAATGCCTGCCAAAATTTTTTAGAAGGTTTGAGTCTGACAACTAAGTACAATTAATGAGAAATGTGATGTCAAGCAGACCTCCTTTGGGAAGGTATTCCAGAGTTGGTGACCAGTATTGAAAAGACTTCCAATAGCTGTCCATCATGCCATTGCTGGTAGTGGTATCCAGAGATCCTCCAAAAATGAGATCAGAAATACAGCAGGAACAAATGAGAGCTGACAGATGCTTCTTCAGACAGACTGGGCCTGAATCAAATATGAAAACACTTCAAATTCTGAGAATCAGTTTAGATACAACCGCAAGGCTGTTACGGATGATCACAAATGCCTACTCCCTCCCACTATTCTCTTAAAGTGTATCCATGATGATATGGAAGCGTTGCAGATTCAAGATCACACTGTTGGGGGGGGGGAGATGGAATTTGATCCTTTGTCCCACCACTGTCTAGATCCAGATCCCCCCCCCAGTTGTTATTTGCCACAAGAGAAGAACTACTATAAATATTAATGCTAGATCACTGCTAGGATGGCCTAATCAGCTTCTCTTATCATTTTTCCCCAAAGTTTTAGACAAAAGCCAGAGTAAGATTTGCTGAGGCCCTAAACTATTATAGACAAAAGCCAGAGTAAGATTTGCTGACGCCCTAAACTATTATCAAGTTCCAGAAACCCCATGAACATTATCAAAATGTGTTATCTTTAATGCAAAAAGCAGAAATCAAGTTGGGGCCATACATGGAAGGGATACCTCTTAGGATGTTATACAGTTATGTTTAGTTAAACTGCTTCACGTATTTCAGTGTATTGCTCTTTGAGGCCTTCTTCTAGGGGATTCTGAGAAAGCAATCCACAGAAATTTCTGTTTCAAGAGTCACCTGCATCACTTTCTGGCAACTAAAGAGAAATTCCTACTTATTTAAAATCACCACCACCAAGTGACTTGAGGAATTTGAGGCCTTCTTCTAGGGGATTCTGAGAAAGCAATCCACAGAAATTTCTGTTTCAAGAGTCACCTGCATCACTTTCTGGCAACTAAAGAGAAATTTCTACTTATTTACAATCACCACCACGAAGTGACTTGAGGAAGGCAACTGGGAGATCAGTCCCAAATAAAATTTCCTTTGATGCCAATCACAGAAAATAAGATCTCTGTTTTAATTCTATTTTACTGCTGCTTATAAGTAGGCAGAATTTATACTGACCTATCTACCAGCCTGAGGTCCCTGTGCCAAAAACTGATTCTAGGACCCCTGGTACCTTGGAAACCATAGCTGATATGTAGATACATACAGACATATGTTTCAAAACTGTTTTCACCTAAGCCCAAGAGGAAGAGAGTTCACTTTAGAGAGAGAGAGAGAGAGAGAGACATACATATGTTTCAAAACTGTTTTCACTTGAGCCCAAGAGGAAGAGAGCTCACTTTACTCATTACATTTATATTCCAACTTTCCTTCAGTAAATTTAAGGTAGTATCCATGGCTCTCCTCCTTCCCCCTTTATCCCACGACAACCTTGTAAGGTAGTTTAGGCTGAGTGAGGGAGACTAGCCCAACATCACCTGGTTAGTTTCATGCCTAAGTGGGGACTTGAACCTAGACATCTAAGTCCAGATCCAACACTCTAACCACTACAAGGGATTAAACTGTCATGCATTACTTTCACGAGACATTGATTAATGGCCTAGTAGTATACATGAGTAATTGCCATCTAAACCATAATTTATTACCTCAGTTTTTGAAGGTGTCTTTTAGTTTATTAACAAGGACATTGGGTCCTTGACCACAGAAGGTGCCAGAGAAATCATCCATGCCAAGAGTCCAAACCACAGCTCCTCCATATTGTTCTCTCTTCAAGAACTCAGCCTGTAAAGGAAAAGTTAATCAAATAACGCAACCTTGCAGACAGTCTACCTGCCAATACCTCCACTGTATCAGTCGTGCAATGCTTCTTGCACAACATACATCTTGTATTTTTTGCTAATAACAGGGAACTACAAATTGTTTCCTAAAACTATAGCTTCCAAGTAGTATATGCATAATTTACACATAGGAATAAAATGCAAGAGGGAAAGGGGGCAATAAGTTCAGTGAGTTAGGTTTCTGACTGTTGTGGGACTTTCGTTCCCCACAGTGCATCCCAGAAGAAGAGCCATCCTATTAGCAGTCCCAGGACACCCCTAGAAGAAGGGAATGGTAACCCACTTCTGAGTACATACTATACTGAGAAAACTGTAAAACCCTGGAAACAGGCCCCATGAGTCATAATTAAAAGTGCAGTATTATTATTATCATCATCCTTCTTCTTCTTCTTCTTCTTCTTCTTCGTGCAGTATTATCATCATCATCATCATCATCATCATCATCATTCTACTACTACTACTACTACTACTACTACTACTACATAGTTACAGAAATAAAATTTTCTATCTTTTTGCAAGGAAGTCATAATGGCCAGCCAAAGAATGTTCAGAATTGCTAGCTATGTTAATATCTTCATCTTCCTGCCGGCTCAGCTAATTTTGACTACTACTACTACTACTACTACTACATAGTTACAGAAATAAAATTTTCTATCTTTTTGCAAGGAAGTCATAATGGCCAGCCAAAGAATGTTCAGAATTGCTAGCTTTGTTAATACTGTATCTTCATCTTCCTGTCAGCTCAACTAATTTTGCACAAACATAGAATTTTATTTCTGTTTTCTCCAAGCATGGTGTAAGGATGAAAATAGCAATTCTCTCTCAGTTTTTTGGGCTGTCTCCAGCTAGTGAGTGCCACCAGGATTCTAATTAAATGAGAGCCATTGAGAAACAAGAGAGGGAAATCCACATTTCAGAAACCCCAAGCTTTGCAGAAGAGGGAATGGCTAGCTGATTGGAAGCTGCAGATGAGCACTCCACACTGCAACATTTTGATGTAGGTCCTACAGCTTATAACCGTGAAAAGAGCAGCTTAAAAGTGCAGCTCATTTTCTGAATCACAGATGATGTAGATCGGACATGTAAGCCAAAATAATGAGGCCAATTTATGCCTCTTATGAAACTGACTTGGTAAATGTTACCAACAGCTATAACTGTCACAAGTACTAAATAATCTCCATCTTCATAGAAGCATAGATTTTGATCTAGATTTAGAGTAGACCAATGGAGATGCATGGGACTTAATGCATGACCAGTTTCAGTCTCATTGATTCCAGTGACTACATACAACTCTCTGTCCAACCCAATAACTATATTCCATGAAAAAGGCAGGAACACACTTTTAACTGAAAACTCCTTTCATTGTCATATCCAACCCATTCACCATCTTTGAAAGCATAAGGAACTTTCTGCTCTTCAATCCATGCCTTGGTAGCTCCATTTAAAAAATCACAGACCTGTCAAGACAAAAGGGATTCAAAGCAGACACAGAAAAAAGTGAATCAGAATAAAATAGGACAACAATATTATGGTTACTTGACAGCAATTAAAAGCATTGTATTCTTGGAGTAAGACTATAGGTAAAAACAGACTTAATATGCAAATTTGATAGTACTTCCAAGGATCTGCATGACTGAGGGAAAACATAACAGCAGGAAACATTCATTTCTTGTAATGTTTGTTTTCATCCTATGCGAATTTCCATATAAGGCTTTAGTACCGTATGCAATAGCCTTCTTCAAAAACAGAATTTAACAGAGAAGTCTGCAATGTGTAAAATTCCCATGTTTTCCCATTGCTGCTCCCATTTCTTTTTCTTCTCACAAAGCTCAATGTGGGTTTGCATATCTGCATAATGCCCTAAACGGAAGCACCCATAGTGTCAAATAGTGCTAAGAATCATCCATCTAGAAGAACCCAACATTTTTACTTTCCAGGAAAAAAAAATGTAGCTATATGCTATAGTAGAAAGGTGGGAACATGTGACAAGTGAGCAAAATATTCAGAACGGAGATTGGTATGATTTTTGTAAAACAATGTAAACCTATACAAGTTTACTCAAAGTCTGAAGTAAATCATGCCGACTGCAATGACACATTCCTAGCTAATGCAAGATTACAGCTCTGAAGTCTAATCCCATGCAGTAGAAGTAAGATCTACTGTGAGAACCAGTATGGTTTAATAGACAGAATGTCAGACTAGGACTTAGGAAACCTGGGTTCAGATCTCTGCTTGGTAATGGAAACTCACTGGGAATTAGTTATGTAAACCACTCTTGAATATTGCATGTACTTAAAAAAACTATTTGGATTGCCATAAATTGGAAGTAACTTGACAGCACATAATAACAAAAGTTCTGTTGAATTGTGGCACTGCAGATACATAGAGCTGCAGCTTAAGACCTCATTCCCAACTCTTTCCCGAAACAACCTTGCAAATGGTCAATTTGAGTGAGTTTGATTTAACCAAGTTTACCCAGCGATCTCCATGGCTATGATAATTTGAAGCCACGTCTCTCAAACACCGTCCTAATCCATATTGAGCTAGTTGTCTGTCTCCGGTGTTTTACTATCCGTTTGTAAGAAATTACCGTAGAAACATTTACCTCATAATATGCCAAGATACCAGACTGCCTGGTATAGGCTCCAGGAGAGCCTCCACCAGAGGCTGAAGCACCAACTCCAGTATCTGTACCAGAAAGTTTGAAGGATCGTCCATATGTTGGAAATCCCATCATGAGTTTCTCAGGAGGGGCTCCGTTGTCTTTCCAGTATTTCATGGCATATTCCTGCAGTACAAATGACAAATTATTATGCATCTTTTTTTCTGCAACAGTGTGTTTGTGTGACTACTGTATGTGCATATGTACTCACAAATTGGAAAATTGGAAGATTTCTATGAACGTAGGAAATCGCCTTTGTCTACTTAGCAGCTATTAGTCAATACTGTCAACTCTGAATGGATATGGCTTTCCTAGATCTCAGGCAGCCTTCTTTGCTCTCACTATTTGCTGTTCCCCGATGATAACCCATATAAACATCAAATAGGCCTGATTCTGATTAGTTTGCAAAATTTGTTGAGTTTGATGCATTCAGCGTGGCACAGTATACCATTACCATTCAAAACAGCATGGTTGGGAAAGGACAAGTACAGAAAGGCTGGATACTTAACTCTTTTCCTCTTGGGTGTAGGGAGGTCAAGAGTATGCCTCTCTACCTCTACGACATACATTGCACTTTGGGCATAAAAAAGCCTATGCAAATTGATGGATTTTTGCACCGGAATGAAAAAAGTTCAGCTGCCTAGGCTTTCCCTGACACCTTCTTCCATTTAGATCAGGAAAGGTGAACCTTTAGCCCTCCAGCTCTTCGGAACTATAGATCCCACAATCCATTACCACTGGGCATGTTGATTGGGGCTGATTGGCACTGTAGATGTCTGTAGTGCCAAAGGTTTGCCACCCCTGAAACACTGCTTACCCCGGCTGCTCTGGGCTTTGAACGAAATCAAGGGAAAAAATTGGGCAAGTCCATAATACGTGTATTTAGAATACCCTCATAATTCATCACAAGTATGGTTGGGCTCAATCTATGTCTCACCACATCCCATGGAAATGTTCTCATTGTTATTTACATACAGTTTGACGATTTGCTTTATGTTTGTTCTTACGCAGTTGTAGAAAGGAACTGGATCATAGTCATGTGAGCCCTTATAGAGAGGGCTGTTGTGTCCTGTTACAGGTGCCCAACTTCCATGGAAGTCATATGTCATCACATTAATAAAATCCAAACTCCTGAATGTAAAATATGAATAAAAGGTATGGGCAAGGAACAATTTACGATATTATGAAACCTATAATGTGTTAGCCTAACCATGGAAATAGCAACAAGAATTATGTTGGTTTATTAACACACTTGTTATTTAGGAGATGTATGCATGTTCATTGGAACTGACCATGTTGGGAAGCTCTCACTCAAACCTAAAGTATCTGGTGAAATGTCGTCGTCGTCGACGACGACGACGACGACGACGACGACGACGACGATGATGATGATGATGATGATGATAATAATAATAATAATAATAATAATAATAATAATAATAATTAATAATTAATAATTAATAATTAATAATTAATAATTAATAATAATTAATAATGAGGATGAGGATGAGGATGTGTAGCTAATAGCTAATAGCTAATAACTAATAATTAATAATTAATAATTAATAATTAATAATAATATGTGCTGTCAAATCAATTCTGACTTATGGTAACCCTTTTCAAGGTTTTCCAGCTAAAGAGTACTCAGAGGTGGCTTACATTCCCTTCTTCAGGAGGCACCCTGGGACTTGCCCAAGGCCACATAGGCTGACTCTTCTTCTCAGGAGAGACAGTAAGGAACTGAATTCCCAACCTCTGGCTACACTGAAACTACTTAGCTATCCAGCCAATTGTCAAACAAGAGGCTGAAGAATTCAAAACAAAAAGAACCAAGAATGCACAAAGGAAGAGAGAAGTAGGAAAGCAAGGATGAAGCTTCTTGACAGCCCAAGAAGCCCAGAATCAGCTAACCTGCCCCCACTTTCTCAGCATCTTCTGAGCTTGCATTGGGCTAGACTTTACGAGCAGAACTGGGCTGAGAATGAAGTGGGTGAAGTGAAAATTCATTCACAGAGATAGCAAGAGTGATCTCTCAATTCTACACAGGACCAGCAGCATCATATTTTAGCTAAAGATAGTTCAGAGCTAATATTCTACAAATCACTGCTGCAGGGTGGATCAAGATCAGAATGTAACCTACTTCCCAAGGGCTGCAATTTCATATCCAGCATCAATGGTATATTTGTTGGAAGCCACTGCTGCAGAAAGCAATAGTCGTGGGCATCCTGTTGCTTCACTTTCCTTCCTAAAAGCAGCTGAGATTTCCTTCAAAGAATAAGAGCAGAGCATTTGATGTTATTTGTTTAGAACGGCCAGATGCAAAGCAACAGCAGTGCAGAAAAGGAAATTTCATCAGGAGTCCTTTGTCACTCAAACAACATCTGCCAAAAGTCCTGCTTCTGCTCACAGGAGATAGAAAGTACTGAGACCTATGCCTACTATCACTCTTATGTAAAACCTAACTTTGCCATCCTAAATATAAGGAGACTCGATATCATAAAAGCACACTGTTCACACTTCCAGGCATTATTTCTCTCTTCTCATATATTCTGTCCAAACCTCAAGCTGAGTCCTGAAACTGGAAAGTGTCTGAGATCCAAACTGCATCAATTCTGAACAGGCCACAGGACTAGCCATGCCCTCAGGCAGAGTGAGGTAGCTGCGTCAAGCAGCAGACTTGGGGTGGTATCATGAAAAGACAGCAGCAAAGGGCCAGTTATTGGATTTATATTTACTATTACTATACTTTTATTTTCTGGAAACAAAGATGTGTTTCTGAGATTTGGTACCTCAGAAGCTAGAACAGGGTTTGAGACTTGACTTTAGCAGTAAGGGACACCATTTCCTGTAGCTAAATGTCTTGGGCTGAACCTGAGAGGAATTAGTCTGCTATAAGTGTTCCTTGTTGCATCTGTTCTTTTGGAAAGACAGTTTTCTTCATTTTATATCAAAACAAGCACAGCCCCTAAAACCTGTCCAAGAGATCCAAAGGCCTTGACCTGTGTCAAAGCTTGGATGAAAATCTCAGCTTGAAACCTGATTACAGATTCTCACCTGAGTCAAAACAGTGAAGCGATGTTTATCCTCTGGGGGGCTCCCTTTGGAACCAGGATATTCCCAGTCAAGATCCAAACCATCGAAACCATATGTTCGGAGTAAGTTTATCACTGATGTGATGAATATCTGGCGATTTGTTGGAGAGGATACAATGGTGATGAACCTGGAAGAAATACTTTGCACATTGTTTGCTCATTTTTGCAGACTTTCACAAACAGCTGATATAAAGAGACAGAGCTCTGATGTCAGTGGAGAGATGCCAGTCTTAATCTGCCTGTTAGAAATGGTCTCTTTTTGTTTCACTTCATGATTTAGACGAAGTGAATTAAAAAGAAAAGAGTGAAATTATTGCAAGGTCGGTCACAGATTTGTTTTAAGGCATTTCTTTTCCCCACTCTTGCTTTTTCTTCTTCATTTATATTTCTGTCTTTTGAAAAATCTTATTAAGCACATTAACTTTTTCAGAGGTTTCAGCACTCTGGCAGCAGTAACAGGGGCCTACGATGGCCACCATTCTTTTTTTGCCAGTGTGTGTCACTGAATAACATTATTGGGTTTTGAGTTTTGTTTTGCCTGAAGTATCAAAAATGTTTCTGGATCACTGAAACATCCTGACTGACTTGTGTCAGAATTCATTTACATGTCCTATTTGCTTCTGTTTAAGAGGTGGTTCTATTGCCCATTGATTTTGATCAGTTTAACAGACCTACATAACTAGAGATGGACTCGAATCACAAAAATGGTGGTTTGTGGTGGTTTGTAGTTCGTGGCTACCCATGAACCATTTGAACTTTAAAAAAAATGAATCATGAACCAGTTTGTTTCTTTTTTTAAAAAAAGGATTGAACTCAGGAGAGGGGAAAATGAAACCCCCACCTGCACAGCCTGTCCCCGTCCCCTTTGCTTCCCCACCCAGTCCTGCCACCTCCTCCTTTTCCTCCTCCTACATTGCACCACTGCCATTCTGAGAGACAAGCGATCCAGCTTCCCTTGTGGGAGCCAGACCTTTTGTCTCTGTGCATGTGCTGGCCTAGCTGATAGGGACCGAAACAGCAGGCCAGGGACCACAAGGACCGAAACAGCAGGCCCAGCTTTTCCTGAAAGCGAAGCCAGGCCGCTGTCTCTCAGGATGGCAGTAGTGGCAGAGAACTAAAAGGAAGAGGACAAGGTAGGAAGGTGACGGGGGCAGTGGACAGGGGGCTGTGAGGGTTGGGAGGGAATGAACCAGAAAGTTTGTGAAACCACAAAAAAAAGGGGGTTGTGGTTCAGGTTGGTTCAGGTTTGTCAATTCTGATGAACCTGAACCAACAATTTCCCATGAACTTTCTGATTTGCTTTTCAGTTCGTGCCCATCTTTGATACATGACATTACTGTAATCTTAAATTGATCCCTTCCACTTCACTTCTACTTCATAATTATTGTCCATGTGGGAACTGGGTTTTTTTTTCCAGCCCAGTTCATTCCGGATGTGTCAGCCCTGTCTGTGTTTTTTAAAATCCCAGACAAGAGGGATTCCTATGGAGATCCCCTGACACCAGCTGTGATGTCTTATGTAGGAGTACCTTACTTCCCCCTGTGGGATGGAAAGGGGTGGAGAGAGGCCAGAGAAAGGAGACAGCGTGAGAGGAAACACAGGGAAAGGTGGGAGGGGGGAGAGAGGTGATGTCTTATGGTATGAAATTTCAAGTCAGTAGAATCTGTATTACATTCAAATAAAAATTAAAACAGATATTGGAAGCTTGGAGTGAGTGATTCCAGATCTATGGGGGAAAGCAATCATGCTTCTGATGCAGACCCATACATCTTATGTAGATGAACCCTCAGCGAGTGCAGGAGGTGAGGGGGGAGCTTTTCCAGGAATTTCAGCGAGACAAATTTTCTTTTGAACCACCACCACTCCTTTGGAAACAATTGGAAGGAAATCCCCCACCCAAAACTAGGATGGCATACCGACTGGCTCAGCCACCATAAGAGAAAAGATAGGCTTTGGATCTGGAGGGTCCCAAACGGAACACTCATTTTGCAGCCTTCTGCTGCATGCTGCTGCTGGGAACACCAATGACAGATAAATTACTCTGGCATATGAAACAGGGAATATCACAAGTATTTCTGCTGTTGTGTAAGTACAGTAATAAAACATAATACCCTAATGACTAATAAGTAACTAGCGATCTGCTGCCTCACTTTGTCTAATTGGCTCTGGGTATAATTGCTCTGTAACTAGGGTGAACAATATGCCCTCTACACCACTGCTTTCTTTTAATGTAACAAGGATAAAATTCTCACTTCTCATTATCAAAGGTGCCTCCTCCAACAGCCAGCAATGTGAGCAGCATGTTATTTCTGCAAAAGGAAAGAAATACACACTGGGATTAACATATGTAAATACAACTATGACTATAAAAATGGAATTAAAATATCTCTGCTTGAAAATAAAAATTCAAGACTGCTATGATAACTGTACAACTTCTGGAACTCAAGGAAATTACTCAAACTGTGTACATTTTCAGGTGCCAATAATTCCAAAGATCAGAACAGGATAACTTCTCCCTTGTTGTTAGAGTTGCAGTCAGTTTCAAGCTGGGGCAAAGAAGGGCTCTTCAATCTTCATAATGTTCTCGTGGACATTTGGGAGTTCAAGTTTGAAGGCATTTCCTGTATCCTCTGCCACGAATGTCCCATGGACAAATCAATGCATCTGATGAAGTGAACTACTGTCATTTCACAAGATGCCAGAAAAAACTGTGTTAATCTTCAAGGTGCCACAAAACTCTTTGTTGGTTTTGCTGCAACAAACTAACAGGACTACCCACATCACCATGATCTCCCATCCCACCCATGGTGGCTGGGATTAATGGGAGTGAATACATCTAGAGCAGACCATGTTAAGAAATATTATTTTCAGGATCACACAAGCAATGTGGTCAAACATCATGGAGATTTTTCATGGGAAAACTAAAGCAGATTATAATCCAAAACTCATGCTAAAACAAACCTGTCAAAGGTGCCACGAAACCCTTTCCCCTTCCCCACTTTTCTATTTTTGTTATGCTGAAAAACACAGCCACCTTTTGAAAAATATTTAGAATAAAGTCAGGAATTTTTTTATCCACTCGGTTGCTCTTCTTAAAAGACCATTCAAGAGCAACCCTAACCTCCAAGTAAATATAACCTAAGAAATCTGCGCCAGAATCTCTTCCACTTGCACAGAAGATGCTGGGGCACAATTTTGGATCACAGATAGCTCTGTATGGTGTTTCAGACACTAAAAGCTATTTGGCTAGAAACTGTAATATAAGGAGGAAAGAAGGGAACAGGCATATCGAGTCTATCAGGTCACTTTTAGTTCTGAAAAACTATTGTCAAGTGATGTGGAACCTTGTAAGCCTCCAAATTTTGTTGGACTGCACTTCCCTTATCTTTGATGATGGATACATAGAGATGATGCATATTAAAATCCAACAACATCTGGTGCGTCCAAGTTCTCCCAACATACTACAGTCTATGTCTGGACCCAGTACATCAATAGCAATCAGAGCAACCATTGATTCAAAGTGGCCATTGTGGATCTACCCATTCCATTTCCCCAAATAACAGCTACTTGCAAATGGTTGTTTCTTACATTTCACAGCAACAAACACACTGTAGACGTGCCAGTAGGAATGCTTTCAATGTCTTTATTGTGTAATTGCCTACCCTTCATTCAAGGAACTTGTGGGATTTCACAATTCCATTTTAAAACCACTTCTTGCATTTCCCCACCCTCTTCCTTTGTGTTTCATTTCACACATACACACACACACCAATTCATAAAAGAAGGAAAAGCAGAATAGACATACGTGTGCTTTGAATAGTAGCTCTAGGGCCTATCCATTTGGAAGCATCCAAATTTTAACCTAAAAGAGCTACAGCCAAAGCCAACTATCTAATGTGCATTAAACATGAGATTTCAAACTTCTGATTTCCACAGCCACACTCAGTCTTTTGAGATAACATCATAGAAGCCTTGGCTGTATAGCTGAACAAGCAAAGAAACAAACAAAAGAAAATATGCACATAACGCCCCTGGTTTGGTTAAGTTGTCAAGCAAGCAGGCAACATCATCATTGTAGAAATACTCTAATTTTGATAGCTACTTACTTCTTCTTTAAGGCATTGAGCTGCCTGTAAAGTAATTCATCATTCCATTCTGTAGTAGTAATTTGGTTATTTTGTATGCCAGCAAAAGCAAAGATCAGATGGGTACACAAGTAAGGGTCTACATTATCTGGTGTGAACTTGGCTGATCCTTTCCTGTATTGATCCCAGTTAGTGACATAACACACCAGCTTGTAGGCAGAAGCTGGAAACAGAAAACAGCAGATTTGTTGCAATGGATAAAAGCACGTGCACAGAGTCCTGAGGTTTGCTTTCTTTTGTATTAGAAATACTGTACTGTCTCCTGACAAAGTAAAAGACACAGAGCCAACAAGCAGTTTTGTTCAAAGATTTAGAAAGGGATGTGCTACAAACAACATAAAACACATTTTCTTAAACCTGTATGATGGCAGAATTGTGCCTTCAGTGTTTACTCACCACAGGCTGAACATGAGAGTTGCCTGAACTGGAAGGTGTGGCCAAGAGCCAGGCCATGGATTAGACCAGAGGTGGGCAACATGCATTGCAATGTTTTGAATTTCTGGTAAAATTCCTTTTTCTATGCCATAGAAGTACAGAGATTCACAGATAATAGCTACAAGTTCCCCAAACTCCATCCCTTTCTCATAAACTGGCATCTAAAGTCTCAATAAATCTATTCGCGAAGGCTTTCACGGCCGGGATCTAATGGTTGTTGTGGGTTTTTCAGTCTCTTTGGCTGTGTTCTGAAGGTTGTTCTTCCTAACGTTTCGCCAGTCTCTGTGGCCGGCATCTTCAGCGCACAGAGTGCTGTTCTCTGAAGATGCCGGCCACAGAGACTGGCAAAATGTTAGGAAGAACAACCTTCAGAACACAGCCAAAGAGCCCAAAAAACCCACAACAACCATCTCAATAAATCACTGAGACATTTGTAGGAGAAAGAATAAAAACATATCTTTACTTACAGTTGGTTGAAATTACTGGCTTGTGCATATTGCTTTCTTTCCTGCAGTCATACTGGCAACTAACTGAACAGATCAACAGCAAGCAAACAACTGCTGCTATCCAAGGAAAGAGAGCGAAAAAGACACTCAGTAGAAAGGCAGGACTCTCTTTGAATCAAAGGCTGGAAAGATTGATTGGTTAGTGCTGGATAAATATATAATTGTGCCAGAAATGTCCTTCCCAGTCGCACAAACCACAAACAGCATGAGAGGTTGCAAACAAAACTCCAACATGTACTTTGCTAGACTGCACTGCAACTCCATTTATCCTCCAACACTGGCAATGCCGGCTACTCCTTATACTGGCTGGCTACTGCAGTCCAACAACCTCCAGAGTGCCTCCATTCTCCTACTCAGCCCCCAGAAATGAACGGATGAGATACACTTTTAGAACCACTCCTCAATAAGTAAGCCCAAGTGACATTATTCATACCTAGTCACAGAGTCAACATAATTATGAAACCTGCAGAGAGAAAATTTTAAGGGGCCAATTTAAGGAATGAGTTTTGAAAGGTTATTCATAAGTGTAATCTGTTTAGTGCAAAATATTGTAGATGACCAATCAGACCTCTCTGAAGCATAACTCTGAGCTACGAAGGGAAAATTTCAACCCCTTCTTCCTCTGCAGCAACACTGAGATACAGCAATATATCCACTCATATATTAGTGCAGAAGGCAACACTGGAGAGAAAATAGTTACATTCTTCCTTGATGTCCGTTCCAATCTTGCCAACCCCTCATTTGAAATGTTTTGCTTTTTAAATAAGAAATCTAAAATCAATTCTTATTTAATGAACTTTATAAATTATACAGAAATACTAGTTAATTAACTATACCGGAAGAAAGTTGGCTTGCTCACCTGTCCTCAATGGTAACTTCCCCATCCTGACACCTAGGCAGAAATGGACAAAAACAGAAAAATAAATAAATAAAAACAAATATAGAAAAATAAAGGGAATTCTCCCGGAGAACAGACTATTGTCTGTTTGGTACCACTGGCCCAGAAATCATCAAGTCTCCAAAGGTACAGAAGCATAGCACAGGTTTTGGGTCAAATTTAGCAGTTTCATCCTAAGATACTCAGGAGATGAAGAAAGATGAGATCAGAGCTGTCCCAGACATTGAGTTCTATTGAGATCACATTTTAAAATGGTAATTCCACAACCATCTGTAGAAGGCTTTCCAAGAAATGTGTGCAATGGCCAGATTCAGTAGGCACGACAACTCCCAGTATGAAGAGGGCCTTAGTGTATCTGGCTGCCATGAGGCTATTACATATGGGTTGCCCCTTTGGAAAAAGACATGGCCACCACCTCCCATTCAGCGCTACAAAGACAATCCAAACACAGAGAGATTCGGACTTTTGGGGACTTCTGAGAGCTCAAGTCATCTCCCTAGAAGAACTAGTGAGGGTCAGATCACACAATAAGGCAAATGCAGATTCCATCTTCTTACAAAATTATTTCTCAAGGCACACAGATGTTCTTGTCAACATGCCTGACAATGCAGACACTCTGCACTGTTACACAGCAGAAACACTACATTGTGAAACCAACTGTGTCTCTCTTCAGGTTGTTCATATAGTCACCAATAAAGACTTTGCAGGGACACTTATGGCCATTTTTATTCCCATTCAGGACTGGAGATTCTAAATCTACCTTGTCATTTGGGTTAAACAGCTCAGTCGTTTAGGAGCCAGAGGTTGGGAGTTCTGTTCCCCACTGTGCCTCACCGAGTGTCAACTTGGTGACCCATCGAGTCCCCTCCAGCTGTGCAGTTACAAAACGGTTATGATGATAATAAATGTACCTTCCACCCAGAGGAAGGTGAAGAAAAAGAGAAGGGGGCGAGGAAATACAAAGGGTAACAGACACGATGGCAACCCTCCCGCCTTGCTGAACCCCGTCGCCTCCTCTTCGCAGAGGCAGACGCCTCCCATCGCCTCGTCCCCCACCCCCCTCGGCGGCCGATCGCTCTCTCGTCAGACCCTCACCCGCGCTGCTGCCGCTGGCTTGCAGCCCTCTTTGCAGAAGCACCGGCCGCTCACAGCTCCTGGTGCTTTTTTTTCCCAAGCAAAGGATCGACTCCCCTGAGAAACTCAATGGGACTGGGGAGCTGGCTGCTGTTCTGGAGAGGAGGAGGCTGGCTCCACCGGAGTGGCTGGAGGAGAGGCGGAGGCGTTGCCGGAGCCGGTAGCGGCGCTGGCCCCGGACGAGGCAAGGGTGAGGGGAAGGCAAAGCAAGCGAGGCGCTGGCAAAGGCAGGGAAATCAGAAGCGGAGGGTCCACCGGTGGCAAACCAAGGGAGGGGGGTCTTGGCAAAGAAAGCATGAGGCATGGAGGGGGGCCCTTTTCGGAGGAGCACAAGCCACTCAAAGCAGCGAGCCTGTTTCCCTTAAAAAAAAAAAAGGATTGTTTCTTTCTCGTTGTTATAGATGTGTCCTGCAGTCCGTCAGCTCAGTGGGATTCCTCTCCCGGCTAACTTCACTGTGCTTTGGCTGGCTACAGGTGATTGTTTTCCCCTGAGACACCCCCCCCCATCTTTCCCATGTGTTAAGGCAGGGCGTCTGTATTTTTCAAGGAGCAAGCAGAGAAACCTTCTTGAGTTCTTGTCCTTTTTCTCCTCACTTTTTAAAGCTGGCCTAAGTTTGGGGAGTAATAAAACGCCAGGAAAAAAAAATACTTGAGGTGGAAAGGAAAACTCTGAAAACACTTCAGATCAACAGCGCTAGAAGTGAGGAAGGAAGAAGATTGAGTTTAACAAGCTCTTGAATGCTTGTTGAATTACATTCAGTACAGTAATTCTGACACGATGCCTTTTAGACTGCTGGGTCAGTCAGTTGTAGGATAACGGAAATGTCTTCCATTAGTTGTTTTGATGTTGAGCTTCAGACCATTTTTGCACTCTCCTCTTCCACCCTCATTAAGAGGTCCTCCTAACTTTCTGCTATGCTTTTGCGTAGTCAGTGAAGCAGATGTTTTTTATGGAACTCTCTGGCTTTCTCCAGAGGGAGGGGGAGAGAGAGAAACACTGTTTAATCAGGTGGTTATATTTTAGGCAAGCGGTGTAAGGAATCTTTCTTGATGCCCTTAACTGAGGAGAGTGCATTTGCAAAGTTGTTTGGGTAGCATTCTACCATTATTGGTGGGAATAGGAATGAATGAATGGATATCAAAACAAAAACATTTCTCAGAAATATTAATGGTATTTATATCTCACAGGGCAGAGAGGAGTAATACAAAAATCTTTTTGGGGTGTTTGGTAGAAGTTTCCCAAGAAATGTTAACTTTTGTTCTTTCCTGTTGTGTGTGTCCCAAAACCATAGCTGAAGAATGTTTGTGAGGCAACAATTGCCTTGCTATATTTTCTTCTGGTAAAAGTGGAGTATAATAGATTTGTATTTATAATCTGATGTCAACAATCTTTGCTAACTGCCAGCCCCTTCATTTTAACTTTTAAAAGGATGTTTTGTGACATCAAATCACTTCTGATGTGTATTGATTCTAATGAATTAATTACTTTGAAAATGTCCTGTCATTACCAGCCCTGCTCAGATTTTACAAACCAACAGCTTATTGAGTCAATCCATATCATATCATACTACGTCTCTCTACTGCCCCTTTCCCCAGCAATATTGTTTTTTCCAGTAAGATCTGTCTTCTCATTATTATATCCAAAATACAATAGCCTCAGTTTATTCATTTTTGCTCTAGTGAGAGTTCTGGCTTGACTTGAGTGAACACTCACTTATCTGCCTTTTTCTATCTCTGTGGCATCTGTAAGAGTGCCCTCCAAGACCATCTTTCAGACAAGTTGATTCCCCCTGCCCCCTCATCTGCTCTCTTCACTATATCTTTTGCATAGCAGTCAGGAATACTATAGTATGGCTGATCTTGACCTTGGTTTCCAGAAACAATCTATCTGTCTTGTCTGCATTCTGCACAGTGAAAATGGAAACTGTGGTCCTTCAGACATCAGCGGCCATATATCTCACTGTTAACTTTGCTGGCCAGGGCTGATGAGGACAGAAGGGCAGAGTTGCCCACCTCTGCAGTCCAGAGATGAATGGGGGTGTTGCTCAACAGCACATGACTACTAGGGCTTTGATGGCCCTCCTCTTGAGATAGCCATATTTTCAGTGATGGTGAAATGACTGAGTTCCAAGGACAGTCCTTGCTAGAAAATCCCTTTGGCTGACTTCATAAGTGTAGGAGTAAATTTACATCATTCTGTAACCAAAGCTCAAGGAAAAAAATAGCATTTTATTTTAAATATCAACATCCTGGATTTAAATAATAAAATCAAATTTGTGTCTAGGATGCAAAACAAAAGCATGTGCATACAGTCTTGTGGCCTGTAAAAAACTTATAATTTATCTGATCTCAGTTTTTGTGAAATGCAGCCCACTAGCAGGTCTAGCCCCAACTAGATTAGGACTCATTGAGGATTATGTTTTGTTTGCTATTTGACATGAAACTCACAGATTAAATCATACTCTAGTTATTAATACCTGACTGTCTGCTACTGCTCAGCTTTGTAGACTGGGAGATCTTTATGTGTCTGCAGATTACAAAATAAGATGTCAGGACTGACGCACAGAAAGAAGCATTATAGCACAATGATGATTAAGCATCTTTCAGTCTCAAGAGACTATGGTAACATGCTCTCTAATATGGAGGACTTGAAACAGCATCTAGTGTGGCTGAGAAGGCCAATTTGAGAGTGACAATCCCTTCCACACTGAAGACAAATACAGTCTGTTCCCTGTCCAGCTCCCTGATTTTGTTGGTTTTGGGACTTCCTCTTTGCCTCAGCCTGCTGGACAAGGGTCTCTTCAAAATGGGAGAGGCCATGATGCACCGCCTGCTTCCAGGCTGAACACTCGGATGTTAAAGTTTCCCATCTGTTGAGGTCCATTCCTAAGGCCTTCAGATCCCACTTGCAGATATCCTTATATCACAGCTGTGGTCTCCCTCTGCGATTTCCCTGCAATAATTCTCCATACAGGAGATCTTTTGGAATCCGACCATCAGCCATTCTCACAACATGCCCAAGCCAACGTAGACGTCGCTGTTTCAGTAGTGTATACATGCTAAAAATTCCAGCTCATTCTAGGACTACTCTATTTGGAGCTTTGTCCTGCCAGGTGACACCAAAAATGCATCAGAGACAACGCATATGGAATGTGTTCAGCTTCCTATCCTGCCATGCACAAATGGTCCAGGGCTCACTGCAGTACAGGAGTGTACTCAGGACACAAGCTCTATAGACTTGGATCTTGGTATATGCCGTCAGCTTCTTATTGAGCCATACTCTCTTTGGGAGTCTAGAGAACGTGGTAGCTGCTTTGCCAATGCGTTTATCCAGCTCGACATCTAGGGAGAGAGTGTCAGAGATGGTTGAGCCAAGGTACACAAATTCATGAACAACCTCCACTTCTTGCATGGAGATAGTAATAGAGGGAGGAGAGTCCACGCCCTGGCACATGACTTGTGTTTTCTTCAGGCTGATAGTCCAAAGTCTTGGCAGGCCTTGCTAAAATGATTTATGAGTTGTTGGAGGGCTTCAGCAGAGCGGGCAACAATGGCTGCATCATTGGCAAAGAGGAAGTCCCACACGCATTTCAGTTGGACTTTGGTCTTTGCTCTCAATCTAGTGAGATTAAAGAGCTTTCCATCTGATCTAGTCCGGAGATAGACACCGTCTGTTGCAGTTCCAAAAGCCTGCTTCAGCATGACAGCAAAGAAGATCCCAAACAGGGACGGCGCAAGGACCCAGCCTTGGTTTACTCCGCTTCGGATGTCAAAGGGATCTGCTGTTGAGCCATGAAAAACTACAGTGCCCTTCATTTCCTAATGAAAGGACCTGATGATGTTAAGGAGATTGTAGCACAGTACACATATGAAGCCTTCCATCCTTCCAAGGTCAGTAAACTGAGTACCCAGCTTGCTAGAGGGTGGCAGCAATGAGTAACCTGCATAATTAAACATTGTAAACAGCCCAGAGAGTGCTTTAAGTGCTATGGGGCATATAAGCAGCACACTTTGCTTTGAAAAGAAGGGAGTACATAGCTCAGACTTTTAGCACAGAAGATTGTCAAAGGATAACAAGATCATGGGCACTTGACCTGTTCTGGAACAATCCTGCTTTGAAAGCAAGAGGAAGCCTCTCCCCCTTTTTCAAATTTGCCTAAACAAAGTACAGTACCTTCTAAAATCCTGGGTGGGAACAAAGAACAATATAAAGACAACTGGCTGGGACTCAGAAAATGAACTAAACAGCAGATGCATAGAAAGATAACAGCTGCCCTCACCTTATGTGCTCTGGAGCATAATTTTGTAGGACCATATTAGTCCCATACTGGCACAAGAAAGTACAGGTGTAGCTGCAGCTTAGAGAAGTTTCTTCTTCATATGACAACTTCTAGATCTTCTAACCTACAGTTTGTAAAAGTGATTTTCCCAGGCTGTTTCATGTCACACAGAGTAAAGTCATCCCTCTCTTTTTTTCTAAAGTTAATAGAAATATAAAAGTTTCATGTGACATAAGCGTTCATGGAGTGAAACTGAGTTTATCAGATGCATACAGAGCCTGCCCTACTATTAGGGCTGTGGCACATAGAACCACCACACAAGGTAAGACTTCTTTAGTGGAGCACCCCAGAGATCCAGGTGACTGCCATGCTTTTGTATTTCAAGCATGTGTTTACAATCCACAAATAAGCAAGTGTAAAATTGTGGGCTTGTTTCTGTGGTTTTTGTATTTTTGGCAAATAATTTTAGCTAACTGTGGCTTAGAGATTTGTAATTTCGACATACGAGAAAAAAAACAAGACAAAAAAGTTGTGGCACCTTAAGGACTAACTGCTATATTTTAATGTAAGCTTTCATGGATCAAGTATAGAGATGGGCATGAAGCACTGTGCTGTGTCATCTAAGTCATCAGCGCTTTCGCTCTCTCCACCCATCCCTGGCCAGCTCCTCCACTGATCTGTAGGCGCATGCTGCACCTTCCCTCCCTTCCCTGCTCTTCCACCTCCAGCAGCTGGCATTGACAGATCACAGTGCAAGAATCCCTGCCCTGCCTCCTCATTTGAGTGGGCAGCTGCTGGAGGAGGTGGAGAAGGGAAGTCTGTGCTCCTGCCAGAATGGAAGATCATGTGATGGGGAGGGAAGGAGCAGCACATGCAGGCGGGGTGGGAGGAAAAGTGAACACACCAATGACTTAGACAACACGGCATGAAGTGTTTCAGGCCCATCTATAATCAAGTATGATGTCCACATATAAATATGACAGCCATATACAGTAGTCTCACTCTGATGTCTGAGAAAATTGACTTGATCTTTGAAAGTTCACATTAAAATATAACAGTTATTCTCTAATAATAATTTCATACCATCAAGTCAATTCCAACTTATAACAACCCTTTCCAGGGTTTTCCAGGTAGAAAATACACAGAAGTGGTCTACCATTCCTTTCTTCTGGGGGCAGCCTGGGACTGTGCAGCTTGCCCAGAGCCATATAGGCTGGCTTGACTCATAGAAACCACAGTGGGGAATCAAACTTTCAACCTCTGGCTCCCAACCACTGAGCTCTCCAGCCAGCATGTTTTTGTCTCTTGTTTTTGTTTTGTTTTGTTGTCTGATAGCTTGCACAGGTAACCCAGATACTACTTCATAAATTTAGGCTGAATCAGTGAGGTTGAGTTGGTATGGCTCAGTTTGCTGGAAAAGCTAGAAGTGGAAATCTACACTATGGCTCCTAGGAGAGGAGACTAGCCAAATTTAGGCAACGTATGTCTGGGTGATCAGCTTATAATAATATACACGTATGCCTAATACATGACTATGTTCTGTATGCTCTTTACATTCTCTGTCTGTCTCTCTCTCTTTCCCCCCACTTTCTTTTGCACTTACAGTTAACAATGTTAATTGCTTTTTTTAACCAGTGTTGATTTTTTTACTATTCATCAGTGCTTTCCCATTTGTTTCAGTCACTTTAAAATGCAGGGATTTGTGTTAATTGATGAGTGTTAAGAATTCCACACTTTATCAATGAGACCAAGACTACAGGTGTCTGCAACCCACTATGGATGGATTCCAGTTGCAATTATGATGCTGGCCAATTCATTCAGAGATTAGCATCTATGTGTATCCCCATTGCAACGAACCTTCAGGTGTCATGCAAGGTGAGTAGTTGCTCACCAGTTTGAGAGTTCAGGCCTAAGGCCAGAAATCAGACTTCAAAGACAGCTTGTGACTGGAAGAGTGAAGTCTTCACTTATATGAGCCTCACAGCATGAGTTTCTCTCACCATCTGGGATTATGCAGATTAGCTTGCTTCGTTGGTTATTGGGCTGCAGGACAGGAGCACAAGGTTCCTTTGAAGTCAGACTAGGATTCCTTTTATGTCTGATTCCCCAAGCACAAAAGACTGCTTCAACCACCTTTCTGCCCCATTAACTTGCTTTGCTATTTTTGGCTTCAGTGCTTGAGCCAGGTGACCCTTCAGTTACTAATGTGGAAGGTGATGGGGGTAGAACAACTTCTTTCACCATCTTCATCTTATTTGATTTACAGTAAAACATAAACGGTCCTATTGTGTTCCTGCTTGGAGACGTAATCTCCTGGAACTGATATGCATCTGGTGTTTGTTGCCTTTTGGGACTTGAACGATCACAGGAGGAAATCTTTCTCATATGTTCTTAAGCCAAAGGCAATTTGGGTGAGAATACAGCACAAGAATAAAACTGACCTTCTTATTAGGAAGGATCACAGCCTAGAAAAGTTGCTTTTGTGGACAGAAGAGCCTCGTGGCGCAGTGGTTAAAACGCTGTACTGCAGTTAAAACTGTGCTCACGACCTGGGGTTCAAATCCCAGGTAGCCGGCTCAAAGTTGACTCAGCCTTCCATCCTTCCGAGGTCGGTAAAATGAGTACCCAGCTTGCTGGGGGGGCAATGTGTAGCCTGTATAATTAAAAATGGTAAACCGCCCGGAGAGTGCTTGTAGCGCTATGGGGCGGTATATAAGTCCAAAAAATAAATAAATAAAAAAATAAAACTTCCAGAAATCCCTACCCAGCATGACCACTGGCAATTACAATAAGATCATTAATTGATTCTGTAGTGCAGTGGTTCTCAACCTTGGATAGCCCAGGTGTTCTTGGACTGCAAGTCTCAGAAATCCTAGTGAGTAACTCTGGTGGAGAAGGCTTCTGCAAATTGCAGTCCAAAAACACCAGTTATCCAAGACTAGGAACACTGCATTATGTTAGATGTTTTATGAGTTCTATATAAGCAGTAGGCCCTACACTTCAGTGGCTACAGAATAGTTTTAAATCTATGTGGTATAAATTTTAGTTAATTCAGGATGTGGTAACAGATTGGGGGAAAACTGGGTTTTTAATTGAGTTTAGCATGTTTGACATTGATTTTAAAATTTCCAACTACACAGGAAAGGATAGATTTTTTTTTGCCCTGGAAGTATGGGTTTTTTTAGTTGGAAAGCAAGGTGTTTTACTCAGCCACAAGAAGGTCATTTGTTTTAAATCACTTTTTAAATCAATTCACTTTGAATCATTTCAGCTTATGTGAATGCATCTATCAATATAAATTGTGTCTGTGGGGTTTGTCTAATAATAGATGTCAGAATCACAGGTTTCCGGCTGCAGGAAAACTTTGCAGTCTGATCTGTTACATATATTATATAGGATCTGTAATATTGATCTAGTGCTATTCCACTTTGAAAGGAATTTTAAAAAGAAATATTTTAAAATAACACTGTTCAGTTTCTCTTTGCCACTCCCTAGTGTGCCTTCCCTCTGCCAAGCCCTGGCTGCCCCTTATTTTACTCCTTCTCCACCACCACCCCATCTGTGTGTTGAGGGTAGGATCTTCTATGAACCAAATTCATATTTTTCTTTTAAATGTGAGTTCCAACCTTTTCGGTTAAGAATGCTGCTGCTGTAGCACTGGCTTCACAACATTTTATCAGAATGAGATATTTGTGTCCTTTATATTGAGCTGATTATATACTACTTGGCAAACAGAATGATATCACATAATTAAGCCGTATTGTTTTGCAGCCCAGAAAACATATCCACACTCAGTGTAGCAAATTTGACATCCTGTGGTACATAGAATAATGTTAATTTATGCAACATGACTCTACCAACAGAAGCAGTGAGTCAATGGAACACCCTGAAATGCTGTTCTACTAGTATTTATGAATAACTTATAACAAACTGGATATTGAAAAGAGACACACATTTAAAAGCTAATCTTTTGTTGTTGTTGTTGTTGTTGTTGTTGTTGTTGTTGTTGTTGTTGTTGTTGCAGAAAATGGATTGTTACAATAAGTAACCCTCAAAACATCTAGTACTTTTTCTTAGAAGGCTCAACAGCCTTGCCACTTCCCTGTCCCCTCAGCTTACTAGAGACAGTACAACTAATTAGGCCACCAAGCTCATTTTGTCTCTCCTTCTTCCCAGTGCCCTCACCCATCCCTAAGTCTGGCCTTGACAAGGAAGGAGACATGCTAGTACCTACGCTTTGTGTAGTTAAGCATGGAAGATAAGGGACTGGGAGGTGAACTGGTTGGATACATGAAACAGCACCAATTGTGCAGTGTGGAGCATGACAGGAAATAAAGTGCCTTGTACCCTTTTCCATAATCAGCCAGTCCGGAATCAGATCTGGACCCCTCCCAGCTCTTGTCTGTCTAGAGGGTCTTTTCCATGACATTAGCAGGATTCTCCTCAGGTTTTGGGGGCTGAAATCTCAGGAAACTGAATGCTGTTGACCTAGGTGGAATACTCTGTGACTCAACCTCGAGAGCTGCTGCCAGTCACGTCAAGAAGAATAAACTGGAAGAGGCACTGGCTGTTTTCATTCCCTACTTCATTATATGACTTCACATAAGCTCCACTGGAATCTCTGTCTATGACCAACATAATTGATTGTTGTTTTGTCACATTTGTTTCTCTGATAACTTGTCTGAGAATGTGCATGGTGATACTTTTTATAATGATTATGACTGAAAATAAGAGCACCCAGCCAACGCATTTTACAAGAAAACACCAAAGTCTGCTCTAGCCATGCCTGTTGGATTTTAATTGGATTCTTTCTTTATAACATTTTTACCATGCATAGACAAGATGCTTGGAGTAGCTTTCAAATATCAGTACTAGAACAAGCCCTGCTCTCAGCCTTCCAATCCAAAAGAAATAGCACATGTGGAAAAACATATGGGGAGAGAAGAGGGAAAACGTAGGCTTGGGCACTAGTTGGAAAGGCCTGCCGCAGGGCATGCTGCACCGCAATTTTAACCACCTTCTTCTATTTGGGTACCATCTACTAATATTTAAGGGTAGTTGCAGCACTTGCAACTGTCATCAAAAACTAGTCCAGCTGCGCAGCTAAAGCTGAATGTCTGGTTGTTAACACATATGTAGAACTTGGTTTTATCTTCTGGGTCAGCATGGATACCATCTGCTTGGTTTGCACAAAATTCACCAGTCGGTGGTGATGGTGGGTGCACAGTTGTTGTTGTTGTTGTTGTATCATCATCTGGAGGAGTAGTTGGAGTTCCAATAGTTGTAGTAGTAGTTTCTGGTGGAGGTGTTGTTATAATAACTCCATCACAAGTTATGGGATCTAGGATGAATATTTAACAATATAGTGAGAGAACTGTATTTATGCTTCATCATCTCGGGTCACTCTTTACTTTTTAAAAATGTCTCAGTAAAGCTTTATGGGAATACTGCTCCATTGGCAGAGAGAAACTCTGCCAGCAGGGTGGCATGTCTGCTATGTTGGCACCAGTGAAGCCATGGAAATTTCCTCAGGTTCAAAGGAATACAGTACTGGTGTCATTTCTACTCATGGCACTGTCTGTCTGTCTGTCTGTCTGTCTGTCTGTCTGTCTGTCTGTCTGTCTGTCTCAGGATTGGAATGCAAGGTATGTCACAACAAGATTTAAAACGGGCATAAATAAAACAGACAAAAATAGCTATAAAGGTAGAAAGGCTAAATAAACTATAATATCGAAAGATAAATTTAAAACTGCTTTTAAAAGAACACAGCATCTATCTACAAAGTGCTCCGGTTCCCTGAAAGCTCAACTGGGATCAAATGGTGCTTGTCTGCTGGTGGAAAGACAACAGGGGAGGAAGCGAAGCCTTGTCTCCTTTAGCAAGGACTTCCATAGCCTTGGAGCAGCCGCTGAGAAGTCTAGATCTCATGTCCCCAACTATGCCTTTAAGGGTTGGCATCAGGACTAATAAAACAGCCCTGAACCCAGGATTTCTAGAGGGAGAGCAGGGCAAACACAATCTTTTTAGATATAAAAGTACTTTCATAAGTAGGAGGAAATAATAAAGATTTGGGGAAGTGGAAAAAGCCACTCCACTCTTCCCCACCCTGACCAGAGCAACATAGTTGGGCATAAGAAATGTCATGGTTCTACCATGAACCCCACCAGCAGCAGCTTCGGACGGGTAATGTAACAGCATGATAATATCATGGCAAGATGAAGAGTGGCAATCACAATGTTGTTGAGAATGTACCTTTTGGTGCCATGTAAGGACCCTGGTTAAAACCGTGTGCCAGAGACAAATGGCAAAGGTCACCTGTATTCTTAGTAGTGATTTATAAGCTGTACACAGATTTCACTTGACTTTAACATATATTTGAGAACTCAGACTGTGAGTCAGATGGTCCATTGGATTAACACAGTCCTTCACTGCTGATATTCGGATGAATATAATCGCTAATAAGCAGGAAAAAGTTGATTCTCCTGGCAAAATACAATTGAGACTTACCATTTGATTCGAGAAGTCTTTTCAGTTCCGATATTAAAGGATATTTTCCTTCATTACAGAAAGTGCCCAGAAAATCATCCAGATCAATGGCCCAAACCATTGCACCTCCAAAATTGTTCTCCTTCAGAAACCCGACCTAACCAAAAAAATCATAAAGCTTTTTAATAAGAATGCCACAGTATATTTTCCATTTCGTGTCTGTTGCTGAAACTACTTACTGTTTGGAGGCTGGTGGTGTATGCCCTTTCCTAAATAATATTTCAGCTCAAATATCCACTCATCCAGAAAGATTTATTCTGCTCTCATAGTTTCATAGAGTAGCACATATGATATTATTTGAATACCAAATAAAATGTACACTTTGATGTTCAGAAGATTAAATCCTTTTATACTGAACCTGAAAATGATAAAATTTTAACTACAAAGTCTTACTTTGCAGTGGTAGCTGGCAATATTGTCATATCCAATCCATTCATTTCCCTTGTAGGCATATGGAACTTTCTGGTCATCGATCCATTTTACTGTGGCTGTCTGTATAAATGTGCAGATCTGTGAAAACATCACAAATTTTTTCATTCTTCCATTCATAATACAAAAGAAAGACAGATCAGTCTCTAGCTAGTCTGCTTTGTGATGATCCAGGTAACTAAAACCTGATCAGAAGTCAGTGTGCAGGATTCTCAGATGAACCCTAAAGCCTGATATCATAATATACTCAGACTATTATATATATTTTATCTGAAGCTCTGTCTTGATACTTTACTACTCCAAGCAGGACTTTATGCCAAATTTACTATAGCTATGCCAAAACTTATCGAACAAGAGAGCATGAACCTAGAAATGGAAGCCAGTATAAGGAAGAAAACCGTAGTTAAGCTGATACTGGACCCAAACACAAAATACAGTTGTTCTCTATTGAACATTATATAACATTTTAACACATGCATCCTAACTATAAAGGGAAATGGTGAAAAACTATTTTGTCTAGTCTATCAACAGTGTGCTCAAACAACCTAAATTGGAATCCTCACACTCTGTTATATCTCCATTACCACTTGCCAGGTACATTGACAATTGTTGTGCACAGGTTTGACACACAAGGCCTTTGGAGTCAAAGATTCCAACTCCGGATTCCTTGAATGGAGTATGTTCATATTTAACAAGGATCTTGAGTCATTTTGAATTTGGTTCCATTTCATTGTTTTTTGCATGTTGTGTTACTAAATATTACTGTGGTGCACCTAGTAGTGGTCAAGTCCTTTTTTTATGCTGCCCTAAAGGATAAAGAGTGGTTGAAAAACATGTTTAAAAAAGAGAAAAGCAAAGCAAAGTGTCCATGTGACTTTATACCTCATAATAGGCCCAGAAGCCAGCCTCACGGGTGTAAGGTCCTGCTGAACCAGCTCCAGAGACAGGTGCACAAACACCTGTGTCTGAGGTAGTAAGCCTGAAGGTCCGTCCATAGGTAGGGAATCCCATTATAAGCTTCTCTGCCGGAACACCATTGTCTCTCCAGTATTTCATGGCAAAATCCTAAGGTAAAATTGGGGTGGAAATTAGCTCCTTCATCAGTCTCTTCTATTAAAAAAAAACCACTAATGGTATTTCTAGGATCAGAACACTTACACAGTTGAAATATCTCATATCACCCTGATCCGTGGATCCCACATACAAAGGGCTGTTGTGTCCTGTGCATGTATCCCAGCCTCCATGGAAGTCATATGTCATTACACTGATGTAATCCAGAAGTCTGGTGTAAAAAGAAACAAAACACCACATAGATGTTTTCTGATATGGCATTAGAAATGCTGAACAACCCAGTGACAGCCTCTGGTATATCAAGGTAGGTAAGGTAAAGGTTCCCCTTGACATTTAGTCCAGTCGTGTCCGACTCTAAGGCATGGTGCTCATCCCCATCTCCAAGCCATAGAGCCAGCGTTTGTCCGTAGACAATTTCCATGGTCACGTGGCCAATGCGACTACACATGGAATGTTGTTACCTTCCTACCATGGTGGTACCTATTTATCTACTTGTATGTACATGCTTTCGAACTGCTAGGTTGGCAGGAGGTGGGACAAGCAATGGGAGCTCACTCCGTCCCATGGATTCGATCTTACGACTTCTGGTCTTCTGACCTTGCAGCACAGAGGCTTCTGCGGTTTAACCCACAGTGCCAGCACGTCCTTTTTACGTGGGTATTAGCTTCTAAATATATGGTACTGTCCCCCTTTTGCATAGCCATGCATTACCAATGCTTTACTATGGAAAAATGGGACAATACCATGTCTTAACCCACAGTGCCACCACATCCTTTTTACGTGGGTATTAGCTTCCAAATATATGGTACTGTCCCCCTTTTGCACAGCCATGCATTACCAATGCTTTCCTATGGAAAAATGGGACAATACCATGTATTTGATAGCAGCTTTACAGTCAGTTTGCATAATAAAGTTAATAACCTAAGCCAAACAAATAAAAAAGGAGAGCCATGAGGTTCTTTCACACAAAATAAGGGTAGGTGATCCCTTTATTAGAATGCTAAAATATCACAAACATAAGCAAACTCCTACAGGATTCTTCATCAATCTGGGTAATACTTTTGATTCTGACAGCAGTTGACTTACCTAGTATGTAAACTTCATTTCATCTCACCTTGGCATGCCACTTTACTGAGGCTTGTCACTTTTCTGTGTACAGCTGTTCCCAACCAAAAAGCCAGCATGTGCTTCAATATATGCAATGTGTGCATGCATGCATCTGTGCTGAGTGCCTGGCAACCTTTTGTCCACCAAGCTTGGAAGGACACTTAAATCTACGTTACCTGAAGTAAAACCTGAAACTGGTTACCCTGAGCTAATTCTATGAAGTCGTAGACTCCATTTAGGAACTGCACTAAACAAAAACCCGACCCCATCTAGCCATAATTTTTGGAACACTTCTATTGTCTTTGCACACTTTCCCAGTTCTGCAATGCCTAATAAATGTATCACCCACCCTTGTTTTCAGATTAGCAATTGGAGAATCATATTTAGATTATTTTAAAGGAAAAACCTTTGGTTGTTCCTCTTGCTACTTACGTTCCTATCTTAGCAATTTCGTATCCTGCATCAATGGTTCCTTTGCCTGCAGACACTGCTGCTGTGACCAAGAGCCTCTGCCCATCGACTTTGCTGTTTTCAAAAGCAGTCAGCATTTCCTGTGGAGAAATTTGGGAGCCATTTCAAATCATCTTTGTTTTCACAACAAGCTCTTTAAACCACACGGAAATAGTTAGACAGAGGCTTCTATTCCCAAGGCCCATTGTAGCGTTCTCTATTTATTAGGTCTATGGTTCATGTTATATTATGTAATGGTTCATGTTTGTTATGTAATGGAATGATTCATGCATATTAATATTGCTGAGAGGCGGAGCTGAGAGAGATGTTATAAGAGGCGGAGTCAGAGAGTCAAGGGGTAGATTGAGTAAGTAAGAGAATGTAAGAGTCAGACAGTAGAGAAAAGTAATAGAGTGTGTAGTTTGGGAAATTCTGAGGTGTGATTTCAGTAGCTAATTTCATTCAGTAGATATTTATGAATCAATCTCTGTAATCAATAAACCAAAGTTTTATTTAAAAGAACTTGAAGAGTGGACCTGAATCTTTCTGAGGTAATGGTGATTTAGGGATCACCTGGTGGCAGCAGTGTAAAGGATGGGATTGTTTGCTTTTGTGTGCTCTGAGGCTTGAAGGTCAAGCAAAGGAGCACGAGGGTGGATGTCACACCCATTCCTTCCAAGGACCAATTATTTTTTTTAAAATTGCTTGCATCTAGAATTATTTCACTAGCCACAATGAGACTAGAATTCATATTTCCTTCCCCCAAACAAATGGGTTTGATCACTACAAATCAGTTGTGTCCTGATTTTTAGTTGGGGGGGGGCGCAGTGCACTAAACAAAAACCCGACCCCATCTAGCCATAATTTTTGGAACACTTCTATTGTCTTTGCACACTTTCCCAGTTCTGCAATGCCTAATAAATGTATCACCCACCCTTGTTTTCAGATTAGCAATTGGAGAATCATATTTAGATTATTTTAAAGGAAAAACCTTTGGTTGTTCCTCTTGCTACTTACGTTCCTATCTTAGCAATTTCGTATCCTGCATCAATGGTTCCTTTGCCTGCAGACACTGCTGCTGTGACCAAGAGCCTCTGCCCATCGACTTTGCTGTTTTCAAAAGCAGTCAGCATTTCCTGTGGAGAAATTTGGGAGCCATTTCAAATCATCTTTTGTTTTCATGACAAGCTCTTTAAACCACACGGAAATAGTTAGAATGAATGATCAATTCCCAAGGCCCATCTATTAGGTCTATGGTTCATGTTATATTATGTAATGGTTCATGTTTGTTATGTAATGGAATGATTCATGCATATTAATGTTGCTGAGAGGCAGAGCCGAGAGAGATGCTATAAGAGGCGCAGTCAGAGAGTCAAGGGGTAGATTGAGTAAGCAAGAGAAATGTAAGAGTCAGACAGTAGAGAGAAGTAATAGAGTGTGTAGTTTGGGAAATTCTGAGGTGTGATTAGCTACTGAAGATATTTATGAATCAATCTCTGTAATCAATAAACCAAAGTTTTATTTAAAAGAACTTGAAGAGTGGACCTGAATCTTTCTGAGGTAATGGTGATTTAGGGATCACCTGGTGACAGCAGTGTTAAAGAGGAGAGTGTTTGCCTTCATGTGCTCTGAGGCTTGAAGGTCAAGCAAAGGGGCACGAGGGTGGACGTCACAACCATTCCTTCCAAGGACCAATTATTATTTAAAAAAATTGCTTGCATCTAGAGTTATTTCACTAGCCACAATGAGACTAGAATTCATATTTCCTTCCCCCAAACAAATGGGTTTGATCACTACAAATCAGTTGTGTCCTGATTTTTAGTTGGGGGGGGGCGCAGATGAACTTGTAAAATGTTGCTATTATTGCTATTACTACAAATTACACAGTCTTGTTATGCCTTAAAGATGCATAACAGATGTATTACAATGCAGCCTTTCACAGACAAAGCAAATACAATTCACCTGCTAAATTTCAAGGTAACAGGAGAAAATGAGTACAGTATTGTTTTCCTTTCTCTGCAAAGAATGCACATGGAGTTATTAAGTTGCTGTTGTTCTCTTGCATATATTTATGAGCAGATATGCAAGTGTGCTTGTAGGAAACCCTAGGATGGGGTGGTTTCAAAGGATTTTTAGAAAGCAGTAGTCAGTATCAATTCCCTGTGGCATGAATTACCAATATAAAAAGCATCTTTGACTTGTCCGTTGGTTTCTCACCTTTATCAGGACAGTGAAGCGCTCCTTGTCTTCAGGAGGGCTGCCCCTGGATCCAGGGTATTCAAAGTCCAGATCGATTCCATCAAACCCAAACTTATGGAGGTACTCTATCACTGAATCAATGAAGATTTTACGATTGGCCTCAGAGCGAACCATTTCAGTAAACCTGGAGTAAGGAAATCCAGAACGTTTCTGCCATATGACATTAAACACAAACACTTCAGGCTCCCCCCAAGCTGTTCTTATGTCAGCAATGTAATTTAGGGAGGAAGATGAATAGTTCTTTTCTCAGCACAGGATTAGATTATCTTGCAAAACATTATGGCTTTCTGTTTTCCTGCTGGCTTTTGTTTGTTTTGTTTTTGGCACATCCTTGATTCGTGTGCAGGGTGTTTTTGCCATGGTTGAGCATGGTGCTCTCTCCACAGCTGTCCTTGTGCCTGAACTGGCCCCTACCACCAGCCTCTTTCTATCTGCCCCTGCCACTTGCTGGCATATCTTAGCTGTTCCATGGCCAGCTATGTGATCATGGTCTCCTTCTTTATGATGAGAAGTATTCATTTCTATTTAAATTACAGTCAGAACTAAGTAAGATGGAAGCTTTTCTTAGTTTCCACAAAAATGCCCTCCAATGGGCTTCTGCCTGTGCTGGGTATTAACTAGAGGGCCTCTCTGGAAGATCTAAGCATCCCCACGTGTTCATAATGAGAGAGTTAAAGGTTGGAACAAAAGATTTGCACTCAGAAAGCAATTGGCAAGCAGTGTAAGTCTTTCAGTATCAGAGTAATATGCTTGACTGCAGAGCCAGAGATTGGGAGTTCAGTTCCTCACTGTGTCTCCTTGACAGGGGTTCAAATTGATGATTCATAGGGTCCCTTCCAGCTCGGCAGTTCTAAGATGATGACGATGGTGGTGATGCTACCTATCATGCATCATTTAGCACCCTGGCCACTGATTTCCCCCTTTGTCTTCTTTTTAAATAATGCATTTCCACGCTCTGCTGGTGTGTGAACTGTCTCCTAAAGTTTCAAAAGAGTAACAGGTAGGGGGTGGGCAATGGTTAGAAGGAAAACAAATACAGTACTCACTTCTGAGTGCCAAAATTCCAGCCTCCAATTGCTAGCAGTGTGACAAGTTTGGGGTTGCTGTAAAACAGGTGAGAAAATACAAGGATTAAAATTCGTGTTGTTAGCTCAGACTCAAAAGTGTCATTAACTAACAGGAAGATTTTTGAAAGAAATTATATAAGCATGTGTGCACATTTGCTTGTCTCTTTGCATAAATGTACTGTATATGTGTGCTGTTTTTGGTAAAGCCATACTTAGATAGTATGTATGAAAACCATCAGATCTCGTGAAAGCAGTTCTTATGAAACAAGTAAACACAGGCTGAAATCCAATTGTGTAGTTATACCTGGTGTGACATTTAGATGTGAATTGTTGTAAGCAGGGAGTTGCGACTCACTGTCAAGTCCAACTTAAGTCACACTGGCTACTTGACTCAGGGTTTAAAAGAAAAGATTCAATTCCAGACTTGGAACCATTTTTTCTGAGTCATGTTTTTGAGTCCCTGGCCCATGCGCCCTCCCTCTCCCTCCTTCCTGGCAATGAATAACAATACCTGTGGGGGAGAGGACATGGAGGGACACACAAGATGTACTACCACAGTCACACACACCCTGCACTGGAGCCCCTCTTCCTTTTCTATGGATGCCTGCACACTGCTGCAACGACAGCAGCTGCAGAGGGACACACGGGACCAAAACAGCAGCTACTGTTACTAACAACACCAGGAGCAGAGGTTCATGCCCGGTTGAGGCAGGGAGCAGCAATGGGGCTGGCATGGAGGTGGACTTGGATGGTAAGACAAGGCAGAGAGCATCACTGCCACTGGGATGGCCAGGGGGAAAGGGAGGGAACCTTACCAGGGTTTGGGGGAATACAACTCCCAGAATTCTCCAGGTATGGACCTGCAACTTGGGCTTGGGGCTGAGGACTCAGGTCCCAAGACTTGAACTCAGATTTGAGACTCAGACTCAAAGACTTGTCAACATCCCTGGTTGTAAGTTAAGAAGTCTCTGTAGCAACAAACATTGCCAGCAAGCTAGGCAATTCAGTATGCAACAGATAATGTCTACACAGATATCTTAACTTACAGTTCCTGTCTAAATCTAACACTATTTCCATATCTGCACAACAGGATTTCACCCATCGAGACTTATACTAAAAAGAAAAGAAAAAAAGGGAAGAAAGGTACATTGTTTTAAAAAAACAGAAGTGTCAGATTTGTGTTTGGACTACAACTCCTAGAATTCAGATAAAAAGAGATAGATAGGCATCAAATTATTTGGAGAACATCCTTGAAAGGAAACTACCAACCTTTTCTTAAGTGCTTGAAACTCCGGGAAGAGTCTGTCTTCATCATTCCATTCATAAGGTGCAATCTTATTTGAATTCATGGTGGCAAAGGCATAGACCAAATGAGTGCAAAGATTTGGATCAATGTTGTTTGGAAAGTATCGGGCTGGTTCTGGTCTGTATTGGGACCAGTTGGTGAAATAACACACAAGTTTGTAGGCAGAGCCTGGTAGGAAAGGAGCGAAAAGAAGAGAAGGTGAACAACCGTGTTTGGGTTCATTTACATTTCTTAATTTAATTGTGCCTCGCCCAACCAAGCTATAAAATAGAGCTACTCTGGTCACTAGTACAATCGGTCACTGGATATTAATCGTTCCCCTCAGGTGTTCAAGCCATAGAAATTGTATGGTGAAGAGAGCGGGGCAATGTTTACTGTCCCCCTCCCCAGAACTTTTAAATCACCCTCTACTAGAGAAAATGCATTGTGAAGGGAAGGATATAACTCTCCCTTTCATTCAGAACCCTGTGTAATCATGATTTCAGTGCTATTCACTCCGACACATTGATTAAAATTCAGTAGTATCAACTACAATAAGCCCTTTGAATCCGTGGAACTAACATAGGAGCTGACTCAACAAGTCCCCACGGATTCAACAATCCTACTCTAGTTGCAACTTACTACTGGATTTCACCTATTGGCATCAGACTGAAACAGTGCTACTATGCTTGGGAATTCAAGGGTTTTAAAAATGTGCACTACAGTGGAAAGAAAAGAAATGTACTTATGGATCCCTGTTATCTCCTCCCCGGTAGGTGAAAAAATTAAACAAACACTGGGTAGGACAATTCTGAGAGATTAACAGCAAGGACAAAAAGGATTAAACGGTCCCTCTCCCCACTGGCTTTGACACATTGCTGGCTGTTTTCCCTTTTCCAAGAAACCAAAGCAGCAACTGGAGGAAATATTCTCACAACTGAAGATGCACATAGCCTGAAATGAACCCATCTTCATTACAAGAAAACCTGTCTCTCTTTCACTTAGGCTTCCATGTTTCACTATTGTCCCCTATATAAATTTCTAATACCAAAATACCATAATTCTCATAATTCAAAAACCCAGGAAATGTCCCAATTTTTCAGCACAATATCGTGCTTCCGTTGTCGGCTGGAAAAAGGACTCCAAGCCTTACATAGCAAAGGGCACTCTGAATGTTGGCAACATCCTTGGCAGCAATCAAGATGGTCTACAGTCGGATTCCCCAACCCCCAGGCCATGGCCTAGGCAGAATCGGGCTGCAGATACAGATCTCCTGCCCCCCCTTCACATATCCCCTCATGCACACATGCACCGCCCCCACATGCATGCACTGGTGCCTCGCTCACTTGCATGCACACGGATGGGTGCCCTGCCCACCCATGCATGTGCACACAGGTACCCTGCCCACTCACCCTGCCCACCCACGCCTGCACACACTGGTGCACCACCCACCTGTGTGTACACCCCACCCACGGACCCTACACCTGCCCACAGACCCCACCCCCCCAACCACGCCCCCACATGCATGCACTGGTGCCTCGCTCACTTGCATGCACACGGATGGGTGCCCTGCCCACCCATGCATGTGCACACAGGTACCCTGCCCACTCACCCTGCCCACCCACGCCTGCACACACTGGTGCACCACCCACCTGTGTGTACACCCCACCCACGGACCCTACACCTGCCCACAGACCCCACCCCCCCAACCAGTCTGTGGTCACACACTGGTGCACCACCCACCTGTGTGTGCACCCCACCCACGGACCCTATCCCCTGCACACAGACCCCACCCACCCCCAACCAGTCCGTGGTATGGAAAAGATCGGGGACCACTGGTCTGCAAGATATAGACCCCCCCCCCCCAACCAGTCTGTGGTTCGGAAAAGATTGGGGACCACTGGTCTATAAGATATCATCTTGTGCGCATTACCATTCACAAAGAGACACCAAACAAGGGAAAATCCAAGTATCCTTTGTTCAAGACACCAAACAAGGGAAAATCCAAGAAGCAGGCTCCTTTGTTCATCAGCTAACCACTTCTCACCCAAACACAAAGAAATTCACAACTTTTAAAATTTAAAAAAAGGAGGGCTCAGAGACCTGGAGATGATTTCCCTTTGAAGGCTTGTGTCAGGAGCCTGGCCTCAGAAATTCTTAGAGAATATTTACTGAAGTCACTGAGGGCTTGCACAAACATAATTGCTCTGTGCTTTGAATATGCCTTACAAAATTGTATGCTAATTCCTTGGAGATCCATGGCAAACTGTCCCCTCTTTTTTGAAGGACTGTTATATGCCTTACAAAATTGTATGCTAATTCCTTGGAGATCCATGGCAAACTGTTCCCTGTTATTCTATTACTTTTTAAAATCAAGTCTGGTTTTTAAATTTTGTATTACTTTTTAAAATCAAGTCTGGTTTTTGAATTTTGAAAGAAAACCTATCTTTTGATTTCATTACCCAAATACCTCCTTTCTCTGTTCATAAAGCTGCAACAATGTGCTCATTTTGTAAAGTTGTTTCTGGCATGCACGTTCTACATATGCTCATGTGACAAACATTCAGAAATTCTCCCTTTTGAAAGGCCTTTTTGAGGACCAATGTTTCAGTCCTTGAAACTTGGATTTTTTCCAAATAAAAAAAGCAGGTGGGGCTCTCTTTCAAGATAAGCAGGATTGGTCTGCTCTTTTCCATTTATATGAGCTGTTTGAAATTTGGGGATGTTTGAGGTTACATGTTTCTGCATATGGGGAGGTAAAATATTTTTACATTTAAAAAATGATAACTCAAAAACACTTTGCCCAAATCTCCAAATGTGGCACAAAAGAAGAACAAACTGCTACAATTGTGCCAAATCTTGTGCTGATCTGAATAACAATATAATGGCATGCTGTCAAATCAATTCTGACTTATGTGACCCTTTTCAGTGTTTTTTCAGTAGAGAGTACTCAGAATTAGTTTACCAACCTCTTCTTCTGGAGACATTCTGAGTCTGTGCAGCTTTCCCAAAACCACACAAGCTGGCTATTCATGAATGCATGGTGGGGAATCAAACTTCAAACCTCTGGCTCCACAGCCAGATATGTAACTCACTGAGTTATCCAGCCAGCTGCTGATCTGAAGCCCAGCATAATTGCAAATTTTAATTTTTACTGCTAATTGTAACTAATTCTTACTACTTATAATTAAAAGTTAGCTAGCTAATTTTTAATTATAAGTAGTAAGAATTAGTTACAATTAGTAGTAAAAATTAAAATTTACAATTATGCTGGGCTTCAGATCAGCAGCTGGCTGGATAATTCAATGAGTATACACACACGTGCACACATGCACACGCACGCACGCACGCACGCACGCACGCACACTTCTGTTTGAGCTGTCCCCATTTTTAGAATTGCCTTATAGAATGTTGATTTGCTCTCCTAGCACAAGATCATAATACTCTGCTTCCTTATAAAGCTACTCTTGTGTTAGATGCCAATAAGTCACTTCTGAGTTACGGAAGTTCTAATAAGGTTTCCAAAGTATGTGAGACATTTAAGGGGTGTTTTTTTCCAGTGCCATCTCCTAGTGAGTTACCATGGCCAAGTGAAGACTTGACCTGATATTTGCTGAGTCCTAACTTGACATTCTATCCATCCTACCACACTGTTGTCAGTATGGACTTATAGCAACCCTAACAGGACTTCCAAGGTAAGTGAAGTATTTAAGAAGTGGTTTCACCAGCTCTACACCCCCAGAGAGTTTCCATGACTGAGTCGTAACCTGTTACTCCATCCACTACACCACACTGGGTATCCCCTATATTACACTAGCCATACAAAGAGAAACTGCTTACCAAGCTGCAGCTGCAGCAGAATGGCTAACCCTGCAAAAGAAAGATGAACATGTTAGAAAAACCCAATGTTAGAGAGGAGAAAGAGATTAGAACAAAGTAACATCAGGCTGCCTTTTCCTGCACATGGACAGTCAATCCAGAGATTCTCAACAGAAGTTTCAGTGGTTGTTATTTAGCCCATGGATAGCCATTGCATAACATCATGATGATAATGTCATTTTATGTGGATACTGTCCCTTCCCCATGTGATCTAGGAGGTAGAGACTATATTCAGTCTTAAAAGCCTACTGAAAACCTATCTATTTGTGCAGGTTTTCCATAAGTGACAGCTGCTCTATTTTCTCTTTTGTTCTTGAAAAGATTCACATGATTTATTGTAGTTTAATTTTTTTCCTACTGCTTTCTTCTGTTTTTCTATTTTGAACAGCTTGAATATTTCATTAAGTCAAGCAGTGTGCAAGCTATAAAAGCTGTTGTCTGTACATCTAAAAGTACAGTACAGACATGGAAAACTCTATATTGATTTATGTGGAAGAGAAACTGCAAGGCAGAGTAAATGCGTTCACAGGAGTGCTGTCACTCCGATTTCACTCCAGAATGTCACTGACTAGCCAAATCAGGCTGATCAGTTGGGCTGGTGTCATCAGGACACCTCCTCAAAGTGAGAGCAACCCATGTGACAGCTGCTCTATTTTCTCTTTTGTTCTTGAAAAGATTCACATGATTTATTGTAGTTTAATTTTTTTCCTACTGCTTTCTTCTGTTTTTCTATTTTGAACAGCTTGGATATTTCATAAAGTCAAGCAGTGTGCAAGCTATAAAAGCTGTTGTCAACATCTAAAAGTACAGTACAGACATGGAAAACTCTATATTGATTTATGTGGAAGAGAAGCTGCAAGGCAGGGTAAACGCGTTCACAGGAGTGCTGTCACTCCGATTTCACTCCAGAATGTCACTGACTAGCCAAATCAGGCTGATCAGTTGGGCTGGTGTCATCAGGACACCTCCTCAAAGTGAGAGCAACCCATCCAGCTCTGATTTGAATTTCTAACATAATCACATAGCTACTTCTGATTGGTTGCAGGAGAATGTAACCAAGGGCCTAAACTGATTGGTTCAGATCAGCTCAGGAAGATGCTTCCATTAAGTCAAAATGTGGTGCTTATGCTGCAGAACAGGGAAAGAAACAGTTATGAACTACAGCCTAGAAGATACGGAAAAGGTGAGCAGGGATTCTTTGAGACACAGGACTCTTCATAAAAATAGTTCCCCTTCACCAGAAATTAGATACAACTCTATCTGAAAAGTTTTCAAAGTACAGTACTGGCAGTGGACTGAATTTTGAATTCTGTTCAAAATACGAATAGAGTACTGTTGCTCATTCTCACAGGAGCTCTGCAAAAGTGTTTTGTTCTTCCTGCAATGTATGCCTTTGCAGAATTTTTTATCCCATCCTAACAATTATAAAAAGAAAGTGAAAATATACTCACCACACCATACTAGGCTGTTCCCCATCTTTCTTTCCAACGGTGACTGCCCAGATTGTAGGGCAGGGGCACCTTTATATAGAGAGGCCAGACCTACTTATCAGTGTGAGATCCAGACACCTGGCTACACACAGGGAGATAGACTTCCAAATCGTTCAGATGCATCAAATTATCACAAACAGAAACTCTCATGTAGTCCAGGCAAGGGCAAAAGCTGCTCGGACTTCTTCACAAGGACACAATCTTCCAATAGTAAACTCTGGAAGGATGAATATCCTTCCTGGGATATTTCTGCTGAAGGGAGAAAGGGTGCTTCTGCTCATGGCCCCTGCTCTTCTGAAATTCTATACTTGAGGTTTGGAGGACTCTTTGAAATAATAAAAAAGGCAGATGACATCTGCAGAGGAAAGGGTCAATCCCTTACCTCTGTGGAAGCCTCCATCACATCTTGGTGTCTTCTGCATATGGAAAGAACCCTTCCATTCGTAGAGGGGGCACTCTGAATCTATCACCATCAGTGTAATTGTTGTGGTCATCAACATAATAATTGCTGTTATTTCTATTAATAGAAGAGACATTCCACATCCAAAATAAATTCATGACACCTTCATCTTCCTGTGTGTCTGCAAGTGAGGCAAGGGGAATGTTCCTTTCCACTTGGGCTCCTAATACTGTATACTTATAATTTTACTTTACACAGACAGACATCATCAGCCTTACATAGTAAGTTAAAGCAACAGGATTGCAGCCAATAAGTCATCGTGCCACATGCTATCCACACGTCTGCCAATATACCATTATGCATCATTTATTTCCCCCTGAAAAGACAGTCCTCAATTTGAAAGGTTGCCAAGAAACGGCCCTCTTTTTTAAAAGTCTTCTCTTTTTACAGCCCAGTCCAAAGATGAAGAGGCCAAAGGAAGGATGTTCAGCAACCTTGAAGTTGCTCAGCCACAGGGAACATTTAGACAGCAGACTCAGCAAGGGCAGTGGTTGCCTGGTCACATTTTTTTTCCACTTTGTTTAATTATGTTCAGATTATGAAAAGCATTTCTAACTTTGCATCTGCTCCTAGAAACTGGCATGTGCAATTTTATCAGTGTCTTCTTTTGCTCTCTTTTTGCTGATGTGTAGCTTGTAGGTGAATCAGTTGTGGATATCTGGCCCTCTTATTCATACCAATTCCCCATGCCTAACAAACAGGGCGAGCAAGGTGTGTAGCCAGCAGAAGCCGTAAGGGTGAGGGATACTGTATTTTCATAGCATCATTGAATGATGAAGTTGGAAGGGGCCTATAAGGCCATCAAGTTCAACCCCCTGCTCGATGCAGGAATACAAATCAAAGAATATCTTCCAGGTGGTTGTCTTTAGTTTCTCTTGAATACCTCCAGTGTTGGAGCACTCACCACCTCTAAGGTAACTGGTTCCACTGCTGTACTGCTCTAACAGTTAGGAAGTTTTTCCTGATATTCAACTGAAATCTGACTTCCTGTAACTACAGCCTATTGTTGCATGTCCTGCACTCTGGAGTGATCAAGAACAGATCCTGCCCCTCCTCTGTATGACAGACTTTCAGTTATTTGAAAAGTGATATCATGTCACCCCTCTGTCTCAAGGGTAAACCTGCCCAGTGCTTTCCTCATAGGTCTTGGTTTCCAGCCCCTCTGATCATCCTTGTTGCCCTCCTCTAAACTTGTTCCAATTTGTCAGCATCCTTCTTGAAGTGTGATGTCTAGAACTGGACACAGGTAGTCCCCCTCTATTCAGCCAGTGCCGAATAGAGGGGGACTACCACCTCCCAGGATTTGGAAACTATACTTCTGTTAATGCAACATAAAATAGCATTTGCCTTTTTTTTTTTCTACAACAATTCCAAGATCCTTCTCGCTTGTAGTATTGCTGAGCCAGGTATCCCCCATCTTGTAACTATGCAATTGGTTTCTTTTTCCAAGGTGCGGTACTTTGCACTTATCCCTGTTGAATTTCATTCTGTCATTTTCAGCCCAGTGCTCCAGCCTATCAAGATCTTTTTGAATTTTGTTTCTGTCTTCCAGGGTATCAGCCACTCCACCCATTGTTGTGTCATCTACAAATTTGACAAGCATTCCCTGCACTCCCTCATCCAAGTCATTAATAAAAATGTTGAAGAGCACTGGACCCAGGACTGAGCCCTGGGGTACCCCACTAGTTACCTTCTCCCAATTAGAGAAGGACCCATTAATCATCACCCTCTTATGATTCTATAGCCAGTTGTGTATCCACCTGATGCACACAGGTCATGAATACCGAAAACAGAAAATTATGTGTGGTGTTATAATTGGAAGTGGAACTGAGTAAGAGGGTCATCCTTTTGTACATACTGTACTTATCTCCAGTTTGGAGCATTTCATATCTTTTAAAGGAAATACCAAACTTTGCTAACTTCTAAAGATACTTTTCTTAGTTTTCATATCTTTTAAAGGAAATACCAAACTTCGCTAACTTCTAAATATACTTTTCTTAGTTAAAGGGGTGGGGGGAAAGAGAGAGGTCCCATTAAGCTCAACTGGCTTCCCTCCAATAATAGGTGGCTAAGATTGCTGCAAGTTACTGAATTTTAGTGACTCAGTCAACTCCAAAAACTCTAATCTCCCCAACCCCCATCCCTCAACTAGCCTTGCAACCATATTGATAAGAAGCATAAATATCCCACAAGGTGCTGATACTGTCAAATTAAATGTGATCAGGTGTTCTACTTTCTAACCCAGAGTACTTTCATGAGAGGTCAGATCTGTCAGTGTACCCTTTGGGACCGTGATGGATAGTCACCTGTGCAAACACTCAGCAAAGCAGTTCATACCCGCCTGCTCTGAATTTGCCAATTCTGTGGAGAGACAGAGCAGCTGTTTAGAGAGAAAAAAGGACTCGTTGCCAAAAGGGCTTGGCCGTTTCCCTGGCAACATCCAAGCAGAGCATGCTGTTCCAGTGTCGCTCAGATCTACATCTTCAATATTACAATATCCCACAGTGATTACAGTAATGTTATATAAGAAGCCCTAGTGTTGCAGAACTACTGTATTCAATAGCGCTGGTAGGAATCATTCTACCTTAATGTTATGGTGACACTCCAGATCAGCAGCCTGCAGCGGCTAACTCACTGTCCCTAATGATAGGGCAGGCAGAAATCACATATTGTGTAGGTCTCATCTGGACACTACTTACTTGATCACAGGGAGCAATCTAGCTCTCAGGGATCAGAGATCGCTCCATTCCTGCTACAGAACAATCAGTTGATGCTCAATTAGTGCATACAAGGGTGATAGTTGGTCTCAGTTCCTAAAACCAATGTTCTTCTTGCCTTCGAGTAAAACTGTCCACTAAGAAAATAAGAAAAATTGTCTCTTGTTAACTGAATATTAAGAGAAGCTAGCAAAATAGTTACACAAATGCAGAATGCGGCATTATCAGTCTTGATGCAGTTAATACTCTCTGTCTCACTTGGTCAAGGCCCTGAGGTCTCAAAATAAGTAATCTGCCATAGAGACATTAGCAACTGTGAGAAATCCAAGGATCTCCAGTGGAAATGGAATGTTTTAGGCCCTGTGAATGAAACTGTGACCCCTGCTTCCCCTGTGTTAATGGACGAGTTTCAGTTGCCGCAGCCTGATGATGTGGTCAGGATCCTTGGGGAGGTGAAGGCTACCATGTACCTGTTGGATTCTTGCCCTTTCTGGCTCAGAAAAGCCTCCAGAAAGGGATTGGTTGATTGGGTAGGAGGAGGAGTGAACACCTCCTTGCAACAGGGTAGGATCCCATCATACTTAAAGGAGGCAATAGCAAGACCATTGTTTTAAAAAGCCCTCTTTGGACCCCACAATACTGAATAATTACTGACCAGCATTTAATATCCCATTCCTGGGGAAGGTACTAGAGTGGCGTGTGGCCTCTCAGCTCCAGAGGTTCCTGGATGAGAGAGAGTATCTAGATCCATTTCAGTATGGCTTCAGGCCTGGTTGTGGGACTGAGACAGCTTTGGTCACCTTGGTAGATGATCTATAATGGGAACTGGATAGAGGATCTGAGGGTGAATAAATTGACACTTAATTCAGACAAGACAGAGGTGCTCCTTGCCAGTTGAAAGGCAGATCAAGGAATAAGGATGCAGCCAATACTGGATGGGATTACACTCCCATTGAAATAGTAGGTGCACAGCTTGGGGGTCCTCCTGGATTCATCCCTGAACCTGGATGCTCAGGTCTCAGCAGCAGCCAGGAATGCATTTGCACAATTAAAACTAGTGTGCCAGCTATGTCCATTTCTTGGGAGATCTGATCTGGCCACTGTGCCACACACCCTCGCTACTTCCCAATGGGATTACTGTAATGCGCTCTATGTGGAGCTGCCAATAGAAAGTGTCAGGAAACTTTAGTGAGTTCAAAACACAGGGCCAGTTTTTTTTTTAATGTATACTTATTTATAGCTTTAATATTGCCTTTTCATCATGTAGGATGTCTTTTTACTCTTTGTTCTTAGCTTTAAATATTGTCTTTTAATGATGTTAACCACCATTGTATACTCATTGTTTTCAACTTTAAATACTGTCTTTCATTGTTGTAATCTGCCTTGGGTCTTTTCAAGGAGAAAGGTGGGGTTAAATATTTTAAATCAATAAATAAATGCCCAAGATCCTTCCTTCTGACACCAGATCATAAAGACATCCAGATGCATATGAGTGAAAGTGACAATGCTGTCATTTCCAAGGAATCCTTCATTACAGGCTTTCAAGTATAATCATCTTCTGCACAGCCTTTCAACAGAATACACATTGGTCATTTTAGAACACAGCAGTACCCTGCTTAGCATTTCAGAATAAGCCACAGTTCCAGGGGATGACTCTTACTGCAAGCAGGTGTGGGGGGAAAAAAAACCACAGCTCTGTCTATGGTTTGTTTATTGCAAGATCCAAGGTTGTATTTCTGTCTCAGTCAAAGGCTTAAACCATGGCATGTCCTTGGCTTGTTACAGTGACTTGCTAAGGGAGAGATAAGCCAGAATGTCAGGGTCAAACATCACAAAATACATAAGATCTACAGTTTGTTTAGCCACTCCTACTTGCAGAAAGCAAGTGGAAAGTGAACATCAGTGTGCATTATAATAAACCATTTTCAGAGAATTCAGGGATCACAACCAGACATCGTTTTCATAGGGCAGTTCTTTGTTTTACGAATTTAAGTTTGTACTTTATTCTTTAATTAATACCATCTGAAACAAAATAGCAGCCATTTGCTTTTGCTCTAGCTACCAAGGTTGTATGGCCATCTTAAAAATAACTCTTGAAGTTCAACCCTGTGCCATTCCACTACAGGAATGGCACAGGGTTGAACTAAACTCCCAACCAGAAATATCTTCCTTTGATGCTTCTTTTATCTTCTCTACACTTTTCTAACTCTCCACAGGGAAATAAAACTTTAAGAGACACACATTTGGCGCCCACCATTATACAGTATATCTAAAATTGACTTTCAGTAGTGACATTGTGATCTTCTGAAAGTTTCAGTTTTGGAGTTGCATTTATCCAAAATGCTTCAGCACATAAAGGATTATGACCACTTTTGACATCATCTTTAAAGAATAAAATTTCTGCATAACAAGCAAGCACTAATCTGATCTTCTATTAAAATGCATATAAACCTAAGCAGCTTGAAATGAGACCATCCAAAAGGTCATCTGTCATATAGGAACCTGCTCCGTTAAGGTCAAATTACAAGTTTGTGAACATGGCACATACTTTTGAGAACTGGGACAGTTTTATGCCATATTCACATTTTTCCAAGGGACTCTATTTTTAAATACTAGATTAAGAGAATGCACATTCAATCCCAATGCAAGACCATATTCAGATAAAATGAAAAAGACTCAGATTGGCTTGTGCAAGGACACTTTTATTTTGAATTGAAAAAATAAACTATTTCCACTATTTTTGTGTCTTTGGATGCCCTTTTTAAAATTGCCCAAAAGCCTAATTGGTGACCAAAAATATATACATGTATAAATATACAACTGTCTGTATTTACATTAATCTATACAAGCAACATTTCCATGATTAACCACGGCATAAGAATGTTTTGGCAAAAAGGTTAACGACTGGTTTTTCTCAAAATTTGCAATCATTTCCCCACCCTTTCTTTCTCTTAATGACACTGAAAAATACTCAATTGGAACTGATGCAGCCAATTCCAAATGAGAACTTCCTATGAACCCAAGTCAGACCATCACTAAACAGACACTTTGCTTAATCTGGTGCAGGTTTTAGGGAAGTCGGAGCAGAAATCCCCATTAAATGCAAGCCCCAATCACATCAGGTCTCATGTTTAAGTCCCTTCCACATCGAGCAGTTTTTAACAAACACTTTAAGAAGCATTCCCTATCTGAACAATAAATACATAAGCCTCTAAAACAGGGATTGGGAAGACACGTCTCTATGGCATTTCTGGGGATCCCTATTTTCTCCATTTGTGCCAGCAAAGATCTCCATTCTCACCTTCTCTGCTTCTTTGAGAAGGGAAGGAGACATTCTATGGTGTTACTGTACAGCGTGAGAGCGTATTATGGTGACTCTAGTGCATCCAGGAACATGAGCAGTGGCTATTAAATATCGCCAGGAGTTGTGGAATCATTGCAGTGGTACAATCCTTCAGTGTGGTGTGTTTCCTTCACTCCTAGGAAACTGCTCACCCCAGTACAGCAGAAAGCATACAAACAACCAGTCACTTGGGGAAGCTTTGCATACTTTAAGGGGGCTATTAACTTATCCAGGAGAACTGACAAATAGGTGAGAGAGGAACAGAACAGAAACCTATAGGTCTACCCTGATAACTGTATGGATAGATCAAAAGATGAACAAATAGTGATGTTAAACTAGCACTTGCAGATTTTTGAGCAAGACCTATTAGATGCAGAGTTACGCAGAACATTATAAACAGTAAGTACCGCAAGTAGAACTTGCACGGTAAGGATGCTGTGGGCAATCCATGATAGGACCAATCGAGTTCAGAGGGCTTCCCAAGTGGTCTGCAAAAATACAGACCCACAGCACAACTCATCTTGCATAGCACAACCTGCAGGAAACATCAGCACTGTGTTTTGGAAATGGAATATCCTGTCTGCCAGTCCTGCTGTGGTGGAAAATGGATCACTGCTAACTTGAGCTTTCACAGATGGAACACAATCTAACATTCACCAAATAAAGACTGGCTGTCTGGTACAAACCAGTGGATTTTCTTACCATTTAAAATGTTCCTCACAATAATGAGTAGTGATAACCAAAAAAACCCATTTTTACATCATTATCTGGCCATGAGTACTAGCCATAGTTGACCTAATTCAGACACTGTAGCTAGCTAAAAGAAATCAAGGAAATAAACAAAGGTGGGACCAAAAAAGAGAGAGGAAAAGGATCTGGCCACACATTCCCAACTCTCCAAAGTACAGTTTGTAGAGTGAGGGCATCTGAAAGACGGTCCTTCAGGAAATCTTGTTACTCTTGTTTTCTTCCACGTCCAGCTGATCTAAAATTTCATCCCAAAGGGCATTAGAAAACAAATAAAATAAATGAAAGCCAATTTTATCAGGAGGAGACTAGGAACAGGGGCCTCTGTGGGCTCAGGGTTTTACATTTATCACAAGCATTTTATTTCTTCTTGTGAAATGTGCCAAAAAAAACCCTCCTTACTGTGGAAGGATTTTTGAGAAAGTGATGTTCTTTCTGCACTTCAGCCATACACACAAAAGTTTCACATAAAACCCACCATTCTGCCTCAGGAAAAGATGAATGAATATTAGTTTCTAATGGGAAACACTGCTTTGGCAGGAAATGCATGCCAATGTTAGAAATCACAGTATATTCCCAAGTCTAATATCTTATGTTTCAACTTGAACCTAATAAAGGGAACTGGTGGGTGAAATGACTACATGTCAATCATCTGATTCGGAAACTAGGAACAGAGCTTTTGTCAAACATTTGCTTTCATCGAATAGTTCTATGGACTGATTTAGAGCCCAGTGTTGCCAGGAAGCAGCTGTTATAAAAAGGCGACATTTTCAGCTCTTGGGAAAGCATTAATGTTGGCACTTAAACCTTCTTGGTTATATTGTAACACTATAATTTTAAAAAGCAGTAGAAAATGTGTTCTTAACAGCTCCTCATCGTTTGCCACTCACGGAAGCAGCTGCTTTTTCCAAAAAGCATCGTGTTTAACTCGCCAAAATGCTATTTATGTCTTGACTAGGCAATATAGCAAGCAGCAAGGCCACCTGAAGTTCTGTTGCATGAGACTGTTCTGCTTCATATTACAAACAGAAATTGAACCTTCACAAACCAATCCAGAACTGGAAGCAGGCAGAAGTACCACTGCTATAAGCTGTATAAAAGAGAAATCTAAGACTCTGAGCCATAAAGTACAGGCAAAAGGACCAAACTAAAGAGCTCTCCACCAGAAGGAACACAATGTATATGTTGAAATATAAATGCACTTTGAGAAGGAAACGTATTGCGAAATCAGCTCTTAAACACTTCAGTTAGCAAACCTGAAGGGAAATTTCTTTACTCACTCTAGTGCTATTATTAAACTTCAACAGCTTGCACTAGAACTCGAGTCAGACCAAACCTCAGCTTCAAACACATACAGACCTTGAGAAAATATGAACAGTGTGGTTCTGAAGTGGTCTCAGTTTTTGCCAAGGCACAGCAGTGAATATCCCATGGGTGCCCTTGGCCACCTGTGATCTCATCTACAAGTCATACTTAGCAAGGTGGCGTGGCCTGAATCTCATTAGAAGTACAGGCTGCAAAGAAAGGAGAGATTACTCACTTCATGATGTTCCAGGAAACCTGATAAAATGTGAAAAAGAATTTACATTGTGCATTGATCTGCTTGCAGTCCTCAAAAATAAGGCTCAGCTAAAGATGAAGAACAAACTGCACTATGGTGTTCCTTAAGAGGGCAGAGATTGATTTCAATCCACGTGCGCTTTGGTGTTTCTGGGTCAGAGTTCACCTTAAATTATCATAAACTGCTGCAGATAATGACACTCCTCTACACTGGAGAGGACACCTTTCCATCTAGCCCTCAACCGCCAATGACTTTCTGCTTTTCATATGCCACTTTCTTGACAACATAAGATGATTAGAGGACCAAAGGCTTCCCCTTATTCCAGCCCAACAGTTTGCCACAGTTTACTTCTTCCTACGGATTTTCGGTTTCTTCACCGGGCGGAGGTAAGGATTGTCTATCACGCTGTCCTCTCCATTTCGGCTACCAGAAAGAGAGGTGTTGTGCTGTAATACTGATGCATTCTCCTTCTCAGCTCCCGAATCATCCTAGCAGGGAGGACAGGACATGAACAATGTCAGAGTAAGACAAGAACCACTGGACATGCGAGAAACATCAAGACAGAAGACAATTGAGACATTTGGGAGCAAGTGCAGGAAGAAGCAAACGAAACAGAAATATCCGATGGTCAAAGTGCCCTCTGGTGGCTAAGAGATGTTCTAGAACTAAGGGAGCATTGCACCTAATTTTCACAAGGTTTGGTTTTCAATGGAAGTCAAACCTGGGACTGCTCTTACACAGAATACCAAGGGGAAGAGGCATCTCTGTTGCCAGGCAACTGGACCAGAGTTCCCTTTCTTACTGTGCTGTTTCCCTGCCCATCTGTGCACAATTTATGCCCCAGTCCACTTTTTAGCCTAGATGTTACAAGTTAGTACAGAAAATAGATGAGACGCACATCCCATCTACATTCAGTCCCAGCCAGCTGCTACAAGTAACTGGCTCAATTTGAGGAAGATTTGGGCCTAGTAGCTAAGATATGGTCCCTCCTTCCAATCTCGCAGAGTCATCCTTCTCTTGTAAAGTGTTGCACTCTTTTCCGGCACAAGGACATCTGGTAAGTCTGCACATTTTGTGGGGGAACCTAGCGTCTGCTAGTAGATCCACACAAACATCTCAAATAATCACAAAGGCTTTTCAGCAGCCAGAATTATGTAAACAAAAAGCATATGCACCCAAATCTTCCAGTTCCATCCTTGTGTTTATACTTTCTGGTGGGCATTTAACCAGGAGATCACAGGATCTTGGCGCCCATGTCACCCTGTATCAGACAGAGTCTCTAAAGCTCTACCATGCTCACGTGCAGGGGGAGGTTTTCTGTGTCAGTCTGCTCATCTTGTTCAGAGGAATCTGTCTCCTCCATCTGTTGCATCTCCAACTCAGAAGGAAGCAGAGCAGTCAGGTAAGGTATTGCAAAAGGCCTGGCAGCTATCACTGGATGAAAGGGGAAAAGGTATCATTTCAGTAACAGAGACTCACTCCTCAGTTATCTAGCCAAGAATGGATGAATCATGGGAGGAAATGCACTATTATAGATTGAGCCACATATTATTTAACATTATTTCTTTCCATTAAGGTTTTTCTTATACCCAGGAAAAGATGTATTGCAATCCTCTACTGTATATGTTAACTTCATCCCATGGGCTACATTTAAGATATCAATTCCCAAGTAGGTATCTTCATCCCATGGGCTACATTTAAGATATCACCAATTCCCAAGTAGGTATATGAAAGTTTCTAACACAATGGCAGCCAGACCATATTGCATAGTACAAGAGCCTAAATAATTTTTCAACACTGTTAAGACAATGTGAGGTTTTGCATCAAAAGAGCTCTGCCTGACTAACTGCAATTTTGACATCACTTACAGGGGAAGGTGCTGACATCATCCTTGAAGAGGCTCTGGGTCTCTCCTGTCTTTGCCATGAAACGCGTCAAAGCTCTTTCAACATCACGCCTCTGGGAAGCAGCCTTTTCTCGTAAGATCTGATAGTCTAATACAGGTTCCCGGTAAGTCTGTAAGGGAAAAGGAGGGAGGCAACCTATGACTACTCAGGGAGTTCAAACATGTAGGACTCATAATCTTCATGGGCAATCCAGGTGCAGTTAAATTCACATCTATCTATTGGACAACCAAACCTTCTTATTCAATATATTTTTCAGAAATAAACAAATGGGGCTAAGTTACTGTGGTGATGCTAAAACAGAGGTAGACAGTTTTGACAAACTCTGAGTTTTGCATCTGCAAATCCCTCAGGGTGCCTCTCCCTTTCCCAGTCTATGGCATAGAGGCAGGAAGCCTGTTTTTGTGATTTGGAACCATGTTCTCTAAAGCCTCCAAGACTGATTCAGCTCCCAGAAAAAGCATGTGCCCCAAGCTCCTCATCCTAACACAAAAAGGGGATTTGGGGGGGATAGTCCCACCACACCAAGATACAATGATACAAACATCTGTAGCAGTACTGAGGACTATAAAAACAGCCTTGGGATCAAATTCAGACCACATGACAGATTTTGCCACATCTGTAGCAGTACTGAGGACTATAAAACCAGCCTTGGGAACAAATTCAGACCACATAACAGATTTTGCCCACTGCTCTCCTAAAGGACGAAAAGAACTCTAAAAGACTTAGCATATAATTTGGCCTGAATCCACCTGGTAGTTCCAACAGGAGCAGACCCATTAAATCTATGGGATTTACATGAACCCACCATTCAATCATTCATTCATTGGGTCTCCTTAAGACTACTAGTTAGGAATAGTTAATTGGATCGAGGTCTTTGTCTTTAAAGGTCCAACCAATTTCTGATTAAAAAGATTCTGTGCATAGAATATACAATCATGTTTATGCAAGACATCTCTCATTACCGGTGTTTTGATGTAAGTGTGAGGATCTGGGAACTCTGGGAAGTGGCCAGGGATGTGGGATGGATGGGGCTTGTTCTGCCCGGCTGTCAGGGCTCTTGGAGTCACTGGCTGGTTGGTTACAGGGGCTGCAAATGGAAACAAAAATTCAGCTATGGCAGCTTCTGCCGTGTGGCTATGAGCCCAATTTAACATGAAAACAATCTAGTGGTTCTGTTCACTTTAGGAGAGCCAATACAGTACTGGTGTTTCAGCAAAGAGAATGAAAATAAGCAGCCCTACAGACAGGATAGCATGACAAAAACAACTATATAAAGACTTGAACATAGATCAATGCTGGAATATTAGGGTGCAATGATATCCTGCTTACTGTGACACAGGCCTGCCAGCACCACCATGTTTCCTCTAGCTCCCAACACAGAGGATCACCATATCTATGGGATCATATACCGTATTTGCTGGCGTACAAGACGACTTTTTGAGCCCAAAAAACATGCCTCCAAGTGGGGGGTCGTCTTGTATGCCGGGTGCACTGAATAATGCGGGGCCGTGCTGGCCGGGGAGGAAGGCAGGCAGGCAGGCAGTCGGTCTGGATGGAAGGAGGGAAGCACAGCCTGCCATGCCTGAGCAGCCAGAGCCTGCCACCGGGCTGCCTGCCACCCCGCGCTGCTGAGCCAACTGCACACTCGCTCGCCCACCACCCGCCCGTTTCCCTTTTCCTCCTCCTCCTCCTCCTGCCGCCACCCACTCAGCCTCTTCCCCTCTTCCTCGCCCTCTCGCTGCCATGCCTGAGCCGCCGCCAGCGGGCTGCCCGCTGCCCTGCTGAGCCAGCCACGCGCTTGCTCGCCCGCTACCCACCCGTTTCCCCTCTTCCTCCTCCTCCAGCCGCGCGCACTCACCCGCCACCCACCCATTTCCCCTCTTCCTCCTCCTCCTGTTGGGGGTTTTGTCTTATACGGCCGGTCGCCTTGTGCGCCAGCAAATACGGTAAATTCTCCTGCCTCCTCTACCTCATCATAGATGAATTCACATAGATGTATTAGGTGGCATTACACTTTACAAAGGAAGGAGATAAGGAATTCATCCGACACCTTTCTTTAAATGGCAATCTTGCATTCCACCTAAAATGTAGTTCTGGACTCTATGGTGACATCAAATCAAAATAAATTCTGTTATTCATTATTTTAATGAAAATTATATCACGGTAACATCAAGTGGCAAACCATCCGTTTTCTGCTTCAAACAGACTTAGTCAGATAAATTGAGTCTCACTGCTGGTACAATGAGGTACTGGCTTTCACCCAGTCTAGAGTAGGTTGGAATTTGTTTTACAGAGATTTTTTCAGCCACGACTTAAGCCTGCAGAAGTGCCTCCTCCCTTTACCTAGTTCTGAAGTTTTAGGAAGATATAAAGGCTGTAGTCTTTCACATACACACAAATCTCCAGTATCTTGATCCTCAACACAAAATCAATGTGTAGCCAGCATAATTAACTTGTAAACTACCCAGAGAGTGCTTTAAGTACTGTGGGGTGGTATATAAGCAGCATGTTTTATCTTCAAAGCCTTAGAAATTCCAACAAAACTTATTTCCAAAGACATGCACTTGTAAGACTGGAGCCCAGACCTCAGTGAAGTCATTAGAACTGTGTGTCAATTTGAGTGCCGCTTTCTCACAGGGTATAGAAACCAACATCTGACTGTTCAAGTGATAGGTTTAATAAAAATTGCATGAAATACATGAAACTTCACTTCATGAATTACTGATTTACACAACATATTAAGTTGCATAACATGGCAAGTCTATCTACAGACTTGTAGCAGCATAAACAGATTATTATTTTGCAAAGGTGGAAAAAGCTTGTTTCCATCCACACCCACTCACCCACATAGCCTCCCAAAAGGGTTTAGAGTGGATGCATAGGTACTGAGGAAATAAAGCTTTCCCTGCAAAACAAGCACAAGGGTCTGTGCCTCAGCATCCATGCATGTGAAGACATCTGCAGATGAGTATTTACTGCCAGAGATATTCCTGCTGGAGGAAGCCCTGAACATGGGACACTTTGGAAACAAAGTTAGCTTTGGATTTGCAGGATTCAAAATCTTCAAGAACTGACATGGAATTAGTATAAATAACCCCCTTCTATTGATCTTAGTGGAATCCATGAGGTAGAAGCTTCACATACAGAGAACTTCCCCACTAGCTGGCATAAACTACCTGATCCTAAGAAGTAGCAGAGAACTCGCTAACTTGTTCATGATTTGTTGTATTTATATATCTCTTTTCTCCCAGTACAAGGACCCAATGGAATCTATGAAGTCCATTCTTCCCAACTGAACAAACAGTGAACTGGTTGTCTAATGTAACATATTTGTTGTAAAAACCGTTTCTCATGCCGATTCTACATTTACTGAAGAGATTGATGGATCACAATTCTAAAGCATCTAGTACACATCCTGACTAGACGTCCTCTCAGCAAATTTACAGAGCAATCAAGACAAGGCAATAGCTCACATACGTGCAGTGATCACCATCCGCTGGGACCGTTTGGCATATGCAGGGAGTGTTTCCATGTTGAAGCCTGAAATGCAAGAAGGAAGCAAGAATGAAAGGAAGAAGAACCTAACAAACCAATTCACCCTTCAGTTGTAATCCATTCACCACTGAAGTCTGGCATCCTGACTACAACATTCACAATCAATTCACTCATATGTATTCTCCCCTTGCTAATTCCAGAGCAATTCAAGGAGCAATCCAGAGAGATTACAAAGATTCCAGAACAAGTATGGGTGTCTGTGTGTGACAGAGAGAAGTATAAAAGGAATGACACACGCTCGTCTTCCTCAAGAATCTCATGGTAATCCATCTTCAAGCTTCAACCCAACAGATTTAGCACCCCTTGTTAAAGGAATTAATTCTACATGTTTTGCAGAAGTATCAATATTCACTGATTTAGCATAGGTAAACAATCCCTCCCCATGTCTCCACACCAGCAGTACAGCCGTGTAAAGAGTAAATCACATATCCCAGCACTCACCCATTTCAACTAAGGCAACAACAATATCCGATAGAGTTGGCTGAGTCCTTGCTGTATGTTCGCAGAAAGACTTTGCACTCCTCCCCATTTCTGAAATATCTGGGAAAGCAAAGACCACTATAGAACTGAAATCTGAAAAACACAGTCACTTACCTATTTCTATTAGCCCAATCCTGAATTTAGGAAGCTGACTCACTGAAAATTGTCAACCATTCCTGGCATGCGGAGATTGCCAGTGGCAATTTTCTGATATTAAAGACTCCCCCAACCCCTGTCTCAAGGATCCCAACAGCTTCTACAGGAAAAAAGGGAGCCCAGGAATCTGAAGAGAGGTGGATAGAAAGTTTAAATTAAATTAAAATGAAGATAAACATTGCCTGGTGAGTACATCATCACAATGTACATGGTGTAGTTGTGCCAACTGGGTTTCAGTCAATATTCAATGCTGAGTTCTCAGCCCATATTAGAAAAGAAATATTTTCCTATATGGACATATCTAGGAATCATGATTAAAGAACTGTCAAATGACAATTTAAAGAAAAACATTTACCCATCTTCAGATAGCAATAAAATAGCAAATGCAATTAAACATAAGTAAGCACAGCGCAACATTTTGGGGAGATGAATTAATAATAATCCCAGAGGATATCAGATGGTAATGACAGACTAGGGAAGGGATGAGAAATAGCAACGAATGGCTATGATGAAAAAGGCAAATTATAAATGATTAGGAAAACAGTTTGAATATAGAAGTAACAATGTCATAATGCTTTTATATAAGTCCCCCGTGTCCTCATAATTAGAATTCTATGTATACACAGACTTACAACTTGAAAAGGATTTTGGAAATTGTCATATGCAGCTGCATATGACAATTTTCCCCTCACACAAACATATAAGGAAAAGGGCAACATGACCAGGATGCTGTAGAAATTCCTTAAAAAGGAAAATGTCAAAGTTAGGGACTGCTTTATTTGGGGAGGGAAAAGAGCGAGTAAGGAATATATAAGCCTCTAAAATCAGTATGAAGAAAGTGCACGCAAGATTTTCTGTGCTCTCATTACACTAGAACCTGAGGTCATCCCTTAAAGCTGAACAATGGGACATCAGAAGCAGGTAAAAGGAAGTAAAACCTCACTCAATACACAGTTGAACTCCGGAGTTCACTACTACAAGATGCAGTGATGAGAACAACAAACATATTTAAAAGGAGATTAGACATCTGCATCGAAGATAAGGATATCAACAGCTATGGTAAAATCATTGGTTACAATAAATGTCCACTACCTCAAGGATCAGCTGGTGTGGAACTTGAGCAGGGGAAGAGCATTGCACTCTGCTCTGCTTGTGTGCTTCTCATAGGTACTAGACTGGCCACTGTGGAAATAAAATGCTAAAACAGATGTGCCTTTAGTTTGCTCTAAGAAGACTCCTCTTATGGTAAGAATCAGATTGTAGACTCATTGTTATTACAATGCCTTTTGACCACCACAATTTTCTGGTTCGCATATAACACTACGTCATTTTTAAAGTAGTTTCTCTGCCGCTCTAATCCCGTATCGCGAAACAAACCCCCTTTTGCACTCATGGCTTGAAGTAGCCCTACAAATTGTAATTTGCAGATAGTCAGCTTATTCCTGATTTCTTTCTTATAGCCAAACACGGCTTTCTCTGTACTGAAAAGCTAAAAAGGAAACACTCCTAAGGCTAAACTATCCTTGCTTGCTTTTCCTTCAAACTTTCTTCATTCTCTCTAGAAACAGTCTCCCATATATACCCAACTCCTTTCTGCTACAAAGCAAAACTCTGATCTCTAAATCACATATTTGCTTCCACAAGGCACAACAAAATACCCACTTCACAGAAGGAAAACTGATGGTGCTCAGAAAAATAAACACAACACACCTCATTAAAATTTGCTTACATCTCCCACAAATAACTATAAACATTCAATGAAAACCTCACTGCAGCTGCATACGACAATTTGCCCCTCACACAAACATATAAGTTGGGAAGTGAAACCAACGTGGAGGATATCTCAGGGGTCTCCTACCACCTCTCCTCAGACTAAAGAAGCTACTGTACTTGGATGAGTAGCAAAATGTTTCAACCCAATAAGGAAGAAGTCTAGTTGCCACGACTCAACCTCCAGATATAAGCAAAACATATATCCTACAAGAATAAACCTACAAGTTCCACCGCCCACACTCCACAAAAAAGTCCCAAAATATAGGTAAACTGTACTATACAACAAACAAATGCACACAAGCAAAATTTTCCCCAATATAAAGGCAATCCTCACACAAAAGTAACTCCATCCACAAATATACAGGTGAAACAACTCCTTACTACAGCTGGAGTTTTTGATACTGGCAAAAGCAATGGAGGGAAAACACACCAGAACTGGCCAAACAAGCCACAACCATGTTGTTTGGCTATAAGAAGGACTATGGCTTGCTCAAAAAGCCATGGTTAAAAGCTTTTTGTGTGAACAAAGTTGAAGGAAGCTCCAGGCTATGTTTTAATCGGTCTTCAGCATAGTAACCTGGTATTCCTACGACCTGATATAAGATCGATGCTCTTCCTGCCTTTCTTTATTCCTCACCTGCCATATTACCAATGGCACTTCCCAAATTGCTGCAAAAGTAGCCACTGCAACCAAAACAAAATCTCCTTCGATGCTCTTCCTGCCTTTCTTTATTCCTGACCTGCCATATTACCAATGGTACTTCCCAAATTGCTGCAAAAGTAGGCAGTGCAACCAAAACAAAATCTCCTTTGGTACTATGGAGTAGAGTGAATTGAAGATATCTAGCCAACTCAGGACCACTCTAGGCTATGGAGTAGAGTGAATTGAAGGGATCTGAAATTATCATTGTCTTCTAGGGGGTGTTGCTGTTTCTTTAGACTAGCATATTTAATACTAGGAAAATGACACTGCCTTTCTAACAGACACCAATTTCACACCGCAGAGAGTACTTACAGCTCTGGAGCATCTCTGTCAACGTTTCCACAGCAGCCTTCTCAGCACTCTCAAACCCAGCCTCTGTCAGTAGTGAGCTGACCACCACCTGGAGTGTCCTTCTTCGCGCCAAATAATAGTTATCTGATGGGGTTGTAGAATGTTTGCCACCTGAGCGCTTCTCAGATAAAAGCAAAGCAAGAAAATGCATGTAAGGGCTAAGGAGAACAAACAGCCGGGGGACTGGAATCATGCAGTCTTTCAGATATTGTTGAGCCATGACTCCCATCATCCCTCACCACTGGATATGCTACTGGGGATGATGGGAGATGCAATCTAACAACATCTGGAGGGCGACACATTATCCAATCCCAACATAAAGATATGCAGAAGTTAGTATAATTAAGGTATGGTTGCTGCCAAATGTGATTTAAAAGTATAGATTGTTGGCAACCAAGCAGGGCAGGCCCCCTCCTCCCAGGTTAAAGAAATGTTTGCTCATAAGTTCAAAATGTGCTCTAATGTCTTGGATTCTGACAGTGCAGTTTCCTGTCTACATAATTACCATGAAAATTACTGTGGTTATTTACCTTGGGGAAAGCAACAGCCACATTAAGAGATGATACCCTTTTTATTCTAGCTTAAACACTTGAGTCAGTGTTGTATAATCATGGACAAAGTAATGGGCTAGGACTCAGAAGATACAATAAATTATCAAACGGGACTCTGATCCAAAACATCAGGACAGCCACAGATTCGCTACTTCACTGGAAGTTAAAAAGTTTCTGAATGACAGTTTTGTATACTAGGGCACAACTATGAACACAGCAGACTTATGGGGAAGGAGGTCTCATCCTGGTCACTAAAAATAGTGTATGGATCACGTCCCTCAACCATCAGAACTGGAGTGACTGGGCATGTGTAACTTTCTACATGCCAGCTGACTGCAACTCTCATCAGCCCTAGCCAACATGAGGGAAGATGGAGGCTGTAGTCTAACAACACCTGAGGGTTCCAAGTTGTCCCACCTTGCATCAGTTAATACAAGAAACTAAATATATGTATTTTCCGATGTGTGGACCCTTTGGGTGGCTTCGCGTGCAGGAGTGGCCAGCACATGGCCCTCCAGATATTCTCGAACTACAACTCCCATCAGACCTAGAAACCATAACAGTGAAGGACGACTGGAACGACAGTCCCATAGCTAAAATCTCCTCGCCCCTTTTCCTGTCCGCAATTGGTTTTTACACCAGGAACTTCCCGCCGCCGCCGCCAGGAGAAAAAAAAGAAGCCCCAGGAATCGAACCCACTCCAACCAATTCAGAAAGGCTTAAAGGGCAGCTGCCGGGGCCAATCAGGAGGAAAGGAGATCGGCAAATCAGGAGCCGCCCGCCTCTTCGGACTCTCCAATCCCAACCCGAAGTTCCCCGGGGCTCGAGGCCTCGCGCCGTTTCCTAGTGAAGGCTGCGGTGGGAGCATCGCGACGGCTCCCCCGCCACAGGCAGTGCGAGTGGGCTGCCAGGCGGGTCGTGCCACAAAAAAGGGAATCGTTCTCTCAGAACCGATCCTTACCGTGCTCGAGCTACTAGACCCGCCGGTCCCTGTATCTGCCATCTTGGATCCATGGGAGATTGCGAGCATGCGCCGCTGCGAAGAGACTTGTGGGGCTTGTAGTCCTTTGGTGCCTGTTCCGCTGAGAGCCTCCTTTTTCATCTAAGGGGGTTTAAGCGGCGTGGGAAACGCAGAGGTGCTCCTCTAGAGGAGGGCAGGGCTGCGGGCTCGAGGGGATCCACAGGAAGCGCCAGCCCTAATCATCTTTCTGTGAAACCAAAGCAAAATTAACCTGTGGTGCCTTTAGTCGACGCTTACAGAAAGTATGGGGAACCTTAGGCACTCCAGATGATTGTGGGCTTCTAGTCTCCTTGGTCCTTTCTCACTAGTCATAGCAGCTGGGTTTGAAGTCCAAAACAGATTTGTTGTGGCCCAAGCCTTTGTGGGTAGAACTAGGAGTCACACTCATTAGTTACAAGCCCTAGATCAAATCAAGCCCAAACTATATACAGTATCTGAAGGCAAAAAGATTGAAGCTGAGGCTTTCCTACTTTGAGCACATAATGAGAAGGCAGGATTCGCTGGAAAAGAAAATACAGTAGCGCTGGTAAGGGTAGAAGGCAGCAGGAAAAGAGAAAGACCAAATAAGAGATGGGCTGATTCCCTAAAGGAAGCCACAGGCTTCAGTTTGCAGGACATTCTGGAGATCGATGCTTAATAGGATAGCTATAAGATGAAGGCAACTTGATAGCACACAACAACAACAAACATGCATTGAATTGTGTCAATAAACTAGAAAGGTAAATATTAAGTTGCAGCATGTGACATTCTTGTAAAAAGCTCAAAAACATATATCTACCAAGGATGAGATGATAAACATTTTAAAAACCTTTCCTTAAACGTTTATGCCAGTGGAAAGCCGTTTGTCCTTCTTCTGTGGTTGCAAGTCATTTCTGACTTACGATGACCTTATGAATGTGTGGCCTCCTGAAGGTCTTATTGGTAACAACCTTAGTCAGCTTTTAAATTTGGTACAAAATTATTTTTGCTAAAGCAGGCTAATGACAAATACCCCACTGGCAGTTATTACCAGTATAGACGTCACTGTGTTTGTATCTGGTTTGGAACGTGGGTTTTACCCAATTTGCTTGGCATTTGATTTAGGAGAGAGAAAAAGAAGATACTACTTCAAACAATAGAACCCTATTGTCGATTTATAGAATCATAGAATAATTGAGGTGGAAAGGGCCTTTAAGGCCACCAAGTCCAACTCTGCTCAATACAGGAATCAAAATCAAAGCAAATTTGATAGATGGTTGTCACAATGTTCTCTTGAAAACCTCCAGCACTGGAGTGCTCAACACCTCCCTAGGTGACTGTTTCCATTGTCATATTGCTTTAACAGTTGAGAGGTTTTTCCTCATTTTCAACCAAAATCTTGCTTCCTATACCTTGAACCCACAATTACATGTCCTTTACTCTGAGATGATCTAGAACAGATCCTGCTCCTCTTCTGTATGCTTGTATAAAGGAAATTTCCTTGTATAAAGGAAATTGCTGCTTGTTAACAAGCTGGCTGTGTTCTTGGATGTGTGCCTAGTTATGTAATGGGATATGTGCCTAGGAATGCCTCTAGCATCTCATTAAGGAATGGCAAGTTGTGGGCAGTACTTAAGTGATTATCCTTCTGCAAGTGTAAACTTGCAGTAGCATTCTGGCCATAGTGTAATTGATTTGTGGAGTTTCCTGCCACAGCTACGAATGGTTGTTCCCTAGCTCAGATGGCATTAAAAGAAGGGTTTTAAATAAATAGCTGAATGCCAGGCCTTTGGTGGGGAATGGCTATTGCCCTACTTGTGCTTTTCCTGGAAGAAACTGACTGCTGTAGGAACAGCCTTATTGCTGTTACTCACTAGAGCTCTGTTCTTCATTAGTGTATATTTACGGAGGGCCTGATACATGAGTCTCAGGAGAAGACAATACTTAATTAATCTGTGTCTCAGTTTTTTCTAAAGTGAATTATCCCATGTATATTAATTTCTTTATAAGTGTTCATTCTGCACACATCAAGAAATGAGTGATCACAGATAATTTGCAGCCTTATATCAAGAAATTCCAAACCTTGAAAAAAATTCCAAACCTTGTTGCAGAAACAGTAAGAGGCCCAGCCTCACAAAAGTACTAGTCAACTCTGCCAGATATATAACATCAACTGCTTTTTCTGCACCGTCCATGAAGAGGGCATGCTTAGAGCTTGAGGAAGTGGATTCCACCAATGAGAGCTTGCTATTTGTTTTACTTTTGTGGTCCAATAAAAAATATCACCTACTTTGGCATTTGTGTAAGTATGAAACAAGTTTGTTATAACAAATCCAAGGTACCCTCTTTTAATGGCTGCTAGTTGCAATACTGCTTCTTGGGAGGAAAGCGATGACAAACCTCAATAGCATCTTAAAAAGCAGATACATCACTTTGCCAACAAAAGTCCGCATGGTCAAAGCTATGGTTTTTCCTGTCGTGATGTATGGAAGTGAGAGCTGGACCGTAAAGAAAGCAGACCGCCGAAGAATTGATGCTTTTGAATTGTGGTGTTGGAGGAGGCTCTTGAGAGTCCCCTGGACTGCAAGGAGAACAAACCCCTATCGATTCTAAAGGAAATCAACCCTAAGTGCTCATTGGAAGGACAGATCCTGAAGCTGAGGCTCCAATACTTTGGCCATCTCATGAGAAGAGAAGACTCCCTGGAAAAGACGCTGATTTTGGGAAAGTGTGAAGGCAGGAGGAGAAGGGGACGAC